TAGTTACTGGGAAGGTTTATAGAATTCTTTCTAGCTTTTTCTTTTTGTTTTTTCAACTAGATTCTTAAGACCCTCCCAACCCAGAACCAAATGAGGCATAGAGGGGAGTTCGTGGGGACTTAGAACCTTTCCCTTTTCCCTGCTTGCCATTCCTGGCTAATTACATGGACTCCTCCTTTTTAGACCCTGGCCTTGATCATTCTCTTAAGATGATGCTTGAAGCTGCTTCAGAATTCCTTTAGAACACCTTCTACTTTCTTTATCTAGGATCCCTGAAATTTCCAGATTAGACATCTATCTAGTTTATAGGACTTGCTTTCTTTTCGGTGTTCTTTAAGCATTTATTCCAACCTGCTCACTCCATTATTTTCTTCCATAAACCCTAAGCCATTTTCTCCCAGGGATTTACTCTTTCTAGAGAAGTCTGTGAATTGGGGCAACACATCTCCTTGGCTGTGAAGATCTGCCTGTGTGCTTGTTTTTCTTTTTGTCTTTGTTTACTGACCCAACCATCTCAAAATTTGACTGCCTACCCAGATCTTTAGTGGGTTAAGATATAGTGGGACTTTGTCTATTATTGGCTTCTGCTTTGTCCATCTGACCTTGCTTACTTTTTCTCTGTTCATGTGTACCCCAACAGGGACTAGTCTCTCCATGGCTGGTCCTCAGGCCTCTTCTGAATCCTGACAGTCCTCTGCCCATCTGGAATACTAATTATTCTCTAGATCTGCTCACACATATTCTGCCTTGCTTGCCCATTTCCTGTTAGCCAGAGCCATTCTCACCTTTTGCTAGGACACAGCACTGCACATCAGTGGAACTTTGGGGTCACAAGGTTTTTTATTTAATTCTAACGGAATGTTCCTAAAAATGCTTCCCCCAAGATGAAGAAAGAGAAAACAGGGTTAGAGGATCAGTCGGCAACCCTCAGTACTTAGCACTTCTTCCCCACACTGCATGCTTTAGAACAGCATTTACCAAGAAATATTAATTATACAAGAATGTCCTCCCAAAGAAGGGTTGCACAGTTGACAACTTAGGAAAGCTGTATATTGTGCCTCCTCCTTTGGAAATGTGTAATGTACATTAACATAGTAAAGACTCGAAGAAGAACTGCAGTAAACCTAACTTGCTTCAAACCAAATAAGTTTGGTATTTTCCAATTTATTTCACCATGGAATCTTCTATCATCAGCAGCAGCAGAAGCATCCTCCTCAGACATAACACTTGTTAACATGTTATGAAACATTTGGGGAAATGATGCTATAGATATATACTGTTATTTCTCTCCCTTAGACCAGAATCACTTTCTTTTCTCCTTTGCCTTCTTTCCAGTTCTTTCCAACCTCCTCTAATCTAGGTACCTTGTTTTTTAATTGCTGGCCAAATAGTGCAAAGTTTGCAGTTAGATAGAAGGAATAAGTTTTGAGATCTATTGCACAGCAGGGTGACTATAGTTGATAATAATGTACATTTAAACATAACCAAGAGAATAAACTTCAAATGTCTCACCACAAAAAAGGATAAGTAAATGAGGTGATGAATATTTAATTAGCTTGATTTAATCATCCCACATTGCATACACATGTCAATCACATTGTACCCCATAAACATATACAAGTGTGATTTATCAATTAAAAATAATAATTTATGTTTTGTTTTAAAATTTATATTTTCCTTGACCATCCATCTCCTTAGCTCCCCCCACCCATTGAGCGGTTGTACCTACTTCCATGATACTCAATAGGTATCTCAGTATAAATCAGAAGCCTGGTATATGGAAACTTACCACACTATTATACTTACTTAGCAATTTTGTTAAGGTGAAGGCATTAAGTGGAATTTAATTCAGACAATATTTAGATTCAGTTCTAGATGACAGAATTAAGAGGGACACTTACAACAGAGGGGGCTGGGTAAACAAGATAATGACGCTGTAAAATCATGGCGGAACAACGGAAAGACTAGACATTTAGCTTGGAGAGCATAAAGGCTAGGGAGGGAATGTAAGCACTTCGAGGCAGGGAGTATGTTAGTGTGTTCACCTGTGTGTCTGCAATTCCCAGCACCATGCTTGGCTGAGTAGGGGTTCCATCAATACTGAGTGGATGAGTGAAAACATATCTGTCTTCAGATACATGAGAGGTGACGTTTGTGAAATTCTATTGAGGGTAGGGATATTTTTGGCTCACGTAAAAGCTTAATGAGGTTATTCTGTCACCTCATTTTATGATATATTTAATCATATTTAAGTAATTTTAAAATTTTATGTATTTATTTATTATAAATTTTATTTACTGTTGGCCACTCACTGCTAGCAGGTGAGGATACAGTGGTGATAGCCCCTTTATACACTCACAGAAGATAATGTAGAGAAGGTTGTTTTAGTATTAAGCAAAAGATGACCTTGTTTTCAGAGGTAGAAGCTAATGTTCAAAAGTTAAGTGACTTGCCTGGGATCACTTAGGTATTCTGTGAGGATTCTCACTTCAAAACAATTGGTTTACGTTATTATACCATTTTATAAATCTTTAATGGTCAGCATGTAACATTCCTAAGAAATAATACAGTCTTTAAATGATCACTTATACTTTGATAAAATCATCACTTATTTCACCCCAAAATTCTAGAGTCATCTTTTGACTCCCCCATTCAGGCAGGAAGTCATGTTGGTTCTATCTTCAAAATATATCAAAAATCAAGCATTTCTTCTTGCCTCTGTTCTTACCACTCTGGTCCCAGCTGCCTTCATCTTTTGTCTGGGTCATTCCAGGAGTCCTCTAACTCTTATCATTCCCTCTCCCCTTGCCTCCCTACAATCTGTTGTCAGCACAACAGCCAGTGTGTGGTCAGGAGTTAGAGCATGTCACTTCTCTGCCCAGAGCCCATCAACAGCTTCCCATCTCTGACTAACACCGAAGTCATTCAAAGCCCTTCAAGGCCAAACACAGTCCAGTCCCTGTGACCTCTCTGGCCTCATATGGATTTCTCATGTACTTCAGGTCTCTGTTCAAATGTTACTGTATCATTGATATCCTCCATCACCTCCTCATATTAGTAAGCAATCCTGGGCATGGTGGTTCACACCTGTAAGCCCAGCACTTTGGGAGGCTGAGGCAGGGGATCATCTGAGGTCAGGAGTTGGAGACCATCCTGGTCAACAGGGTGAAACCCCGTCTCTACTAAAAGAATACAAAAATTAGCCAGGCGTGGTGGCGTGCACCTGTAATCCCAGCTACTCAGGAGGCTGGGGCAGGAGAATCACTTGAACCTGGGAGGCGGAGGTTGCAGTGAGCCGAGATCACCCCACTGTACTCCAGCCTGGGGAACAGAGTGAGATTCTGTCAAAAAAAAAAAAAAAAGCAAAATAAAAAAGTCCTCCTTCCCCTCAATGTCTTTGGGCTGTTTTTTCATCCCACTCTCTCTGCTTCCTACTGTTTCTAGCTACTTTATTGTTGGTACATAAAGGAATGATTAGAGAAAAATCTTTTTCATTACCATTCCCTCTTGGTTGCTGATGCCCCTGTGCTGGCTGTCTTATGGGTTCATGTGTGAATTCTTTGGGATTCCTCCCCATGGCATACATAGTTTTCTGATGTTAGAGACCTGTTCTAGCTCCACCTTTTTCAGCTTCCTGTGGAGAGCATCCAAGCTTCGCTCTCTCCACAGCTTCTGACTGCTTGGATACTATCATCCCTGGGCTAGGCTCTTAGATGGGATACTGTCAAGATGACTCAAAGGCCTGTTATCTTCCACAGTATCCACTAGGCACCCAGAAAACTAATATGTCCTTGCTGTACCAGCCAGTGAGTTGCTGCACGTTCTCCTTTTTTCTCTGCCATTTCTCTGTGGTTCCCTTGTCCCTTGCTAAAGCAGGTACAGAGAGTGAAAATGCAAGTCTACTGCACCTGCAGATCCTCGACAAAGGGATGAGAGGCCAGCGTCCTTCCCTTGCAGGCTTCTTCTATTGTGTTTGATTCTCCTAGAAATCTCTTTGATTCTCCTAGTCATTCCAAAGCAAATGATTTGCTTTTGGCATAGTGGAAACGGGGGTGAAAGTGGCGTTGGGGGAAGCACTCTTTCCCTTGCGGAGAAGACAGCCTGCTTTCTCTTGGCAGCGACTTGCACTGCCAAGGATTTACCTCCAGTTGCTACTCTTTTGCTTGCACTGGCTGTGGTGGGAATCAAGCTGGTTCTGCCCGCTTTTAGCAACTTCTGTGGAGTCTTCTGTAGCATTTGGTGGCTCTCTTTAGAGTGTGGGGGCACTGGGTGCCTGTCAATTTTCAGCTGTTAGACTTTAGATGAAATTCTGAGCTACAGGAAAAATTCTATTTAGAATCCTGGTACCTAGATTATTGATAATTTTTAAGGAAGATTCAGGGTGGAGTATAAACTCTTAGGGACATTGGCTGTATTGTGTATTTTTTCTATATGTTGCTTAATTCACTGATTTATTAGAAATTCACTGATTATAATATGCAGTATTTGGCCATAAAACATTGGACTAACTCCAAGTCACTTTTTATTTTGACTTTTTCTAACACATATTTGACTGTATTTTCAGATATTCAGGTGAAACATTCTAGAGTACCAGGATTCTGATCTGACTTGAGAGCTCTTGATCCTTAAGGAAAATGCAGGCTTAAGTTATCTTTGCCTTGGACAAGTACAGGAAAGAAATTCTAGCTGACCTGACTACTGATTGGTTCAAGAAGTAACATAATACTCCCAAATTTACAGTCCAAAGTATGACAGTATGTTCCCCTGCCAGCAGATTCATGAAACCTGATGTGTAAAACTTCCCTTCATTTACAGTGTGGCTTATTCAAGTATTTTTACTGAGCCCTCACAGGGTTAATGTCTTTAATGTTTGAGCAGACTGTTTAGAATTTTGGTTTGATGAAAAGTAGGCCATGAACATTTGCTGAGTGCTCACATGTAAAGAGTTCCAAGTGACTGATTGTAATCATGAATTTAAATGAAATATGTTTAACTTCCAGGGTGAAAAGGAACAGCCTGTGTTTGCAATGACCGGCCTTCGATGGGGATCGTTCAGAGATGCTGGCGTCAAAGTTAGCAAGTAAAGGATTACTATATTGATGTGTGATGTTTTTTTAAAAAAATCTTATTCTGTCCCTGCCTTTCAGATTACAGAGATCTTCTGGGAATAAATTTGGTGGGCCTTGAGGTTGAATTATGTGTGAATAATGGAGGTACGAACAATCAGGTAGAGGTTTATGTCCTATATGCAGAAAGGCTGGGGAAGGTTGCAGCTTCCTCAACACTAGCTGGGCAGTAGCTGAAGAGGAGAAGGGTATGTCTCTATTTTTAGGCACAATATTTGAGCATAGGTTAGGCTCAAGCTAGGCTGTAGGGAGAACTGGATTGCCTGTCATTCTGCAGCTGCTTAGCTGGCTACCAAGTGGAAGGGACTGCCTGGGCTACAGCCTTACCGAGCTGTTGCAGTCGGATGACTTTTCCTGAGAGGTATGTTTGTGAAGGCCTCGCAGATTGGGAGACCACAGGCCGCTGCTCTTAGAGGAGGAAGAAAGGCGGCGCCTGGCTGTGCCATGAGGTGGGAGAAACAGGCCTGTTGAGGAGCTGATGAGAGGGCCAGCACTGGCTTTTCATGGGAATTGACTTATTTTTGGAGAATCCATTGTGTGCAATGGATTGGATTGGAGAGAGGATGTGTCGTGTTCCATCTGCTGTGGAGAGGTAAAGTTAGGCAAGGGCTTGCTGAGCAAGACTAAAGGGGACACCATGTGAGATTTGCTTCATACCTGGTGGGTGTTATTTTCTCTTTACCTTTTCTTAAAATCGAGGGCTTACAGTTTGAGTATAGTTTAAATGAATTGTGACTGCTCTCACACATAGCTCTCAAGAAATTGCTCTTTCACTTGATAGGCCAGCCTGCCATGCTTTTTTTTTTTTTTTTTTAACAGAAATTTCTCTCACTTGTTTCACTTTATTATTCTTGCTAATGAGATTCCTGACAGTGCAATGTCAAAAGAGAGACATTACCATATTATATTACATGTTGCATTCTGAAGTATTTCACATCTTTTTATTTGCAAGTGTGCCATGATTATGGGGTTCCACAAATTACCTTGTGTTTGATCTGAAATCTCAAATCCAGCAGCTCACCAAGAGAAACTGCTTAGCTTTCCCTAAAAAAGTCTGGTTAGGACAAATTGCTTTCCAAAATGTGTTAAGCAACAGTAAAGCACAGCACAGGTCAACACTTTCAGGGCTACTTTATATACTTGCCCCATATCTTGATTGGTTTCTGAACAAAGAATTTTAAAATTCTGATTGTCATTACATGCTGCCTTGGCTAGGCCCATCCACTGAGTTGCTCTTTGTATTAAGAAAGAAATGGTAGAGATATGAGAAATCATTTCCTAGCTGGCTATAGAAGACTACAAAGACAGTGGCAAAATGTACTATTGGTAGAGATGAAGGAAACTGAGGAATATGTAGAACGTAACTGCCTGAGTTGAGATGACCTTCTACTTGGCTAACTAGGGAAAGAAGCAAACTATAAAGGAAATTAAAAAAAAACAACAACAAAAAATCAGATGATCAGGGCCTCATTAGTAGGAGCACAATATCAACCTGAATAATAATTTAGAATGTTTCTGCATTCCCTCTTGGATTATATCTAAGCTCTTTGTCTGTTATTCCAGGCCCAACTTACTCTGTCATCACCCCTAATTATGAAATTATGCATCTTTACTTCTAAGCTTTTCCCTCTTTCTCTGGCTGTTATCCTGTTTCCCATACTCTAAGTTTTGTACCCTGACTTTATTCTGTGCCATTCATTTTATAAGCATGGCTGCTCCAATGATTTTAGGCCCTTAATTATTTTTTGTCTCTTTTTTATTCCCCTTACCAATAAGCAGTGATCAGTTTATGCTTTTCTATATAGTCATTCATTGTTTGCTTTTACTTATTTGGGTCTTATTTTCTCAAATCATAAGCTCCCAAAGTGGGAAATTTATACTTTATATTTCTTCTGTTTCCTCCACATTCATAGTGGATGCTAAATAAATGTATATGATCAGAATCAATAGAGAGCAGTTAATGTTGAGTGATTTGTTAACAGAGGTAAGTTTTAAGAGAAGAATCTACTTTATGCCATTTTCTAATTCCGATTAGGTGTCTTCCTCTCTCCAGTAGCTTTTATGTATTTAGCAATAAGCAATAGATTATCGTTATTCCCAGATTTAACATTTGCCATTTTGAAGCTGTATAACATGAGTCACGTGAAATTATGCTGGTTTGCACATTTTAATTGAGTGTGCATATGTGCGTTTGCTTGTGTGAGAGGACATGGTGTACAGGATCTAGTCATTTATCTTGGGATCAGCACATCAGAGCATGCAGTGTTTGCATCTTCGTGTGGCTGCATCATCCTTTACTCATAGCCCTTTTGAATGTACACTTGACCCGTTGTATCCATAGATGTAAACAAATGCAGAGAGAAAATATTTAGGGGAAAAAAAATTCCACAAAATTCCAAAAAGCAAAACTGGAATTGGCAGCACACCGAGTACTGTGTTGAATCCGTGCAAATGAAGTGATGTGTAGGCATCGTATTAAGTGTTATAAGCAATGTAGAGTTGATTTAAAATATACAAGAGAATGTACATAGATTATGTGCAAATATGCCATTTTCTATCAGGGACTTGAACATCTGCAGACTTTGGACTGAGGGACAACTGTATACCGAACTGTATTCTATGGCTTAAAGGATGTGTTTAAAGGCTGTTGTGAATTTAGTGACTCAGGGAGCCTGGTTATATATCTCTCATAAATTGCAAGAATCTTTACTGTATAACTAACTAATTATGTATAACTTGACAAGGCATCGAAATGGGGATTTAAAATACTCTTTTATACTAAGCCATAACCTCCTAGCTACCAGAATAGCCACTCATAGCAGAGATGTAATTCTAATGTATTGTCTGCCATGAATGGTATCTATCACATGATAGTTCTTTTGATATTCTTATCAGATTTTTATCTTGGTCTTTTCACAGGTACTGGTATCTTGGGCCTCTAAAAATCAAAGCAGCCCACTTTTTCAGCACTCTTAAGGTAAATGTGATTTACAATGTAGATACTTGCTGTGTTATTTTGTTGTTTCTCTGTAATGCATATATTTGGTATATTTTTTTAATTCCTTGCTACAGATGAATGTGGCATGCTTCAACACTAAAACAGGGCATGTTTGATTAAGTATAAATGCAAAAAGCATTCCTGTTTTGATAAGCAGTCACCTGTCATCTACCAACTCATTCCCTCTACTTCCAAACCCATATTTAATCTCTCGTTAGCATTCTAATTCCCTTTGCTATTATTTCACTCTCTTGCCAGACAGACCTTGAACATAATGCCCTATGTCCCACCGATTATTTGTATGCTTGTCTATGTTAGTACCTGGAAATGAATTGAAGATTTGCATCTGAATATGTAATATCTAATTGTACAGGTTTGTGTTTATATCAGTAGGTTTCAAACTATACTAGCTAAGTATGGGTGGTGGTGACTGTATTGGAGAGCATAGGTATGGAACATTTCCATTATCAGAAAAAGTTTTGTTGGGCAGTGCTACTCTATATGATACAATAGAAAATACTGGCATAGAGAAAAGCCTAACAACTTTTATTAGTGAAAATGCTAATAGAAAAGTCATCTTTAACTGTGGACTACAGACTATATTCAGCTTTTATGCAAATCAAAATGGTATAGTCACAGTTTGGCTGGCCAGTCTGAAAACTGGCAGATGGGGTTGGAATGTAGTGAGAAGTTTGGTTCTAATGTTAATATTCAGAGTTATTGAGTGTTTTTCTAATTATAAAAGTAATACATGTGGAAACAGCTTCCTTTACCTTTTAAACTTGTGGAAAACATAGCTTCCTTTATCTTTTAAAAAAATTCTGGCTGGATTAAAAAATTAAATGTAAAACCCTAAAATCACTAGACTACTAGAAGTAAATGTATATAATTTTAAAAATGAACTTGGCAGGGCAAGGTCTTTATATACCAAGGGCAAACTGGATTAGTAAAATCAGTTATTCCTCGAGGGAATAATTTCATTGGTGGAGTTCTGAGTGCATTTAGGAAGAAACAGAGTAGCTACATATTTAAATGGAATATAAACTATTTCCACCATTTATTCAGCAAACAGTTGTTGATATATGCTTGGGATACAAAGTCAAATGAGACAGGTTTCCTGCCCTCAGTAGAAGTATTCATATGCTGGGAGGGAAGTGTAAGCAAATCAGCAGTTAGGCCAGTGCTGTGAGAGACAGATAGAAAGACTAAGACAGGAGCAGAGAGGAGGGGCATCTCAATCTAATGAGGGTCAGGAAATCTTCCCAGGGGAGGTGACACTTACACTAAATTTTGAAACATTTAAAGGCTGTGTGAAGTCACAGTGGTGTGACATGGCCCTTAATTATGATTAATGCAGTAAAATGGCAGGAAGTGAAGCCAGTGGGTTAGGTAAGGGCAGGTTATGGCGGGGTTTGATGTGCAATTTGACTTTTATCCTTAAAGCAATGGGGAGTTATTGAGTCTTAAGCAGAGGCATGACATGAGCAGATTTGCATTTTAGAAAAATTGTTTTTTTCTAAACAGAAAAACAGGATGTAGGTAGCTCAAGTCAAGGACATTTGATAGAAGATTGTTAAAGTAGTCAGGTGGGAAGTAACATATAGACTAAGGAGGTAACAGTGAGTATTGACAGTAGAAGACGGATTAAAGAACTGTTAAGTTAGAACCTCAAAAGTCAGAGGAATATAGGATTATCAGATTTCTGGTATGAGGGACTAGAGTTTGGTAATTGGAGTTTTCCACTGATGTTGATAATACTAGAGTAAAGAGTAAATCAAGTTTGTGAAGAGAGATGAAATTTTCAGTTTAATCTATGTAGAGTTAACATACCTGTGGTACAGACAAGCAAAGATACAATTGTGATTTAGGTCTGGAATTCAGCAGAGAGGTCTGGACTACAGAAACAGATTCAAATGTCATAAGTGTGAGAGCGGTGTTGAAATCATGGGTTGGGTGAAATTACCATTCAGTACAGATGGCCAGGAATATCCCTAAGGGACATAAACATTTAAAGAACTACCAAAAATGACTGAGAAGTGCTAAGAGAAAATGCAGGAGAGAATACCAACGTAGAAGCCAATAGAAGAGAGAATTTCAAGAGAAAAGTAAGAGTTTCAAGAAGCAAAAGCAAAGACTTTAAATATACAGACAAGAGAGTATCCATCAAATTTGGCAGCCTCCAAAAGCTGGGCAGCCTCCAAAGTGTGGTGGCTGAAGCCTGGTTGAAGAAAGTCGAGACATAAAAGTGATGTAAAGAAGTGGAGATGGCAAGGACAGGCTACTCCTTCAAGAAACCTGACTTTGACGAGATGGAGATAGGGAAGGCAAAAGCTGAGAGAAACATGGGATCAATATGGAGTTTTTAAAAGTGGAGAATATCCATGTGTTTCTAGACTGAAGAAAAAGAATGTGAGGAGGTGAGGAGAAGGGAGACAGAAAGCATGACTGAATTGGCAAAATCCAAGAGCAGGTAGAAGGGTGTGGGATCCAGAATCCTGGATTGTCCCTGGACAGGAGAAGGGACCCCTTTTTTCATTGATACAGGAGAGGAGTAAAGGATAGGTCCAGATGAAAATGAGATTAGAGAAAGTTAAGGTATTCTCACTGATGTCTCTGATATTCTCACTGAAGTATAGGAAGCCGTCATCCTGTCAGAAAGGCGGTGGGTAGTGGTATGGGGGATTCTGAAGAAAGATGAATGGAGGGAGGAGGCTTAGGATTATCAAGTAGCATTGAAGACCTGAGGCTAACGATTTGTAGACACGAATGCTCCTTTGGGTGACTGCTTTTCCCTGTATTAATACTCAGCAGGAGTATCATTTTCTCCGCTAGTAATACTGAGCCATGATGTAAGAGTGCAGGAACTTAGTGACAAGGCTGATCCAGAATTGGGGCTTTCTAGGACATATTGTAGAAGAATAAAGACACAGGAGAGCCTGGAGTAAGTGGAAAAAGAAAGCGATTGAAAGTAATTGACTATCAGTTTGGCACTGAGGGAAAATGAGTGGTCAGGGAGTAGAATCCTCAATGTGATTGAAAACTTGCAGCAGTTAGGTCTTCAGAGGACCACAATAAAACCCCTCTCTTCCTCTTTTTAGTTTGAACCAAGGTATGAAAACAAATGTAGGAACTAGGCAGATGAAGATCAAAACGTCAGCTTTATAAATGTCAGCAGGAGTGGAGGACAGAGCACAGATACGTGGTCTCTATCTGATCTCCTAATACTGTGAACTGAACGTATCCATTGAAACAGCTCCTTCAGGGCAGAGACCACCACAAGAAGCTAATTTTCACCACATGAAAATTAGAAGAAGCAGTGAATGTTTGAGACAAGGACAGCTGCTGTCAGAGAGAAAGGAAGGGGCTGGATCCATGCATTGGTCCTTCTAGACTTGGGGAGGAGTAAGTGGTGGAGTGAGAGAAGCCAGTGTTGCTACTGTTTTGTAATTCACCACCTGGAAACTTGAGAACAGGAAGCATTTCACCCTAAGAAACACAATGGGCACAAAAGAATCAACCAGAAGAATATGGGATGTGATTAGAGGGTAGGATCACAGAGTTTTAGATTTCCAAAGTGAAATAGTTCTGGGTGACATTAGGGGCCAGGATGTGGCCGTGGAAATGGGTGGATGTGGTGAACTGGAGGTGATGTCAAGGGCTGAGAGGCTAGGGTATGGTTTTAATTATTCATGTGGTCAGGATGTGATCCAGGATGACACTGGACTTGGGATGCCAGGATGCAGAAGACAAAAAAAAAAAAAAAATTAGAGTGTGAGGGTGATGGGATTTGAAGCAAAAGTGAGAAGCCTTGGGCTGGATTGTGAGCCTGGGCTAAACCATTCTGTCCTGTGTGTGGAATAAGATTCCAGAAGTGAGGTAGGTACTTGATGCAACTGGATTTCCTCAGTTTCATTTTGCATCAACATCTGTAAGCCAAAGATGAATTTATTACGGATGACCCTGTGTTCATTCACCCTCTTTTTGGACAAGTGTAAATGGTGGTGGTTAGTCCATTTTAGGGGGAGCAGTGGAGGCAGTACTTGCTGAATTCATGGTTTTTAAGATCTAGCTTTAAGAGGAAAAGAATGCTTGAGGATTCCATGCTCCAAATTAGCATTCCATCTAGTGAGAGATTATTAATTCACTTTCTAGCAGGTATAAAGAGACAAATAAATAACCTTTACTGAGAGAAACTCCCAGAGTGGAATTGTATATGCATAAGAAAATTTTCTCTCTCCACATTAAAAGGAGTGGCCTCAGACTCATCAAGCCTCTATCTCATACACGGGACCTACAGAGAGACCTCCCAGCGAACCAGAGGAGACCCCTGTACAAAGACCTTCTTTGTACAGGAGAATATTACGAAGGCTTGCATCCTACTGGGCACAACCACAGGATGGTGAGCAATGTGGCAACTGAGGATTGGAGGGCCCTGGTCAGTTTAGGAGTGCCCTAAAGTAGACCTCCAAAATCAGTTTTAGGGACTTAACTAGAGCAGGAGAAGCCTTTCAGGAATCACTGAATTGATCCTTCTGTGTGCCACCAGAGCATGCCCAAGCAATGTGCCATCAGTGGGCATAGCAGTCTCTGTGCACAATCTTTCTGTTAATGTGACTGCTTTTGGTAGTGATGTTTTAGGCACAGAGATGCCATTTTTACCTCTATGTATAAGAAGCATGAAATAAATAAAATGAAGGCAAAGAGTCAGCAGAAAGGCTTGAGAAACTGAGCTGAGCAGCTAGCAGCTAGCAGCTAGCCATCTGTGGTGGGTGGTTAAATGTTAATGGAAGAAACTGACCTGTATCTAATGGATTCCCACAGCCCTTTCCCAAGAGGTGAGCCCAGAGGTCTGGAAAGATGTGCAGCTGTCCACCATTGAACTGTCCATCACAACACGGAACAATCAGCTTGACCCGACAGTAAGTGTGCTTTTTTATTAGAAAAGCATTTGGTACCTAAGAAAAGTGACAACAGCTATAGAATGCTCCCACTAATTCAGTTATTTTTATTTTTACCCTGTGGAGATAGAGAGGGCAGGGTCAGGGGAAAGAGGATGTGGTGTGCCTTTAAGGAATAACAGCAATGAGGAGAAGCTGCCACCTGCAGGAGTGGCATAAATGCTTCTGGGGCTCTGATCACATGTTCTGCTCATTGCTTAATTGGCATTTAGAGAACGTAGGGCAAGAGGGCTTTAGAAATGCAAATTAACTATTCCCATTTGTCACGGGGAAAAAAATTGTGAAATTTTTACTTGAGTAAATATCCACAATTTTTGTGACTGTACTAAATATGTCAAATTAGATCCTCAGGAGAAAAATACCCACACACATACATCTGTATCTATATCTACATGTGATTTATTTAGGCCCAATCTATAGGTATGCACTATCCCATATGGTAGCTATTAGCCACATGTGGTTAGTTAAATTTAAATTAATTAGAATTAAATAAAATGTAAAACTTAGTTCCTAAGTCACACTCACCACATTTCAAGTGCCCAACAGCCATATGTGGCTAGTAGCCACCATATTGGAAATCACAGGTATGCAGCCTGTCTGTCAGTGCAGAAGGTTCTATTGGGTGGTCCTGCTATAGAAAATACACCCGAAAGTATTGAAATAAAGCAGGCATTGGCAAACTGGTCTGCCACCTGTTTTGTATAGCCCAGAAGCCAAGAATCTTCTAATTTTAAATGATGCAAAGAAAATCAAAAGAAGAATAATTTTTGTGAACAGAAAAATATGTAAAATTCAAGTTTCAGTATCCATAAATAAAGTTTTATTGAAGCACAGCCATATTCATTCACAAATACATTGTCTGTGGCTGCCTTTGTGCTACGGGGGAGAGCTGAGTAGTTGTGACAGATTGTATGGCCCAAAGCCTAAAATGTTTATTATCTGGTCACTTACAGAAAAAGTTTACTGACCCTGGTATAGAGAAAACCTTGGTAATTTATATTAATGAGAATACCAATAGGAAAGTAATTGTTAACTGTGGACTAATTACATTCAGCTTTTATGCAAATTAGTCTGTTCACAGTTGTCTAGGCCAGTCTGAAAATTAGCAGATGGAGTTGGAATGTCGTGAAAAGTTTGATTCCAATATTAATAGAATGATAAGTTTGATTCTAATATTAATATTCAGAGTATTGAGTTGTTTTCTAATTATGAAAATAATACATGTCCATTGCAAAACATTTAGAAAACATAGCTCCCTTCATCCTATAAAAAAATTCTAGTTTGATTAAAGAACTAAATGTAAAATAATAAAATGATTCAAGTATTAGGGTAAACGGCACGTTTATACCTATGTAACAAGGCTGCACATCCTGTGTATGTACCCCTGAACTTAGAAGTTTGAAGTTAAAAAAAGTATTAGGGTAAAATCTAAGTGATTATCAGTATAAACTTAAGGAGGACAAGGCCTTTCTAAGCATGACATTTAAGGCAAAAATCATACTGATGCATTTGTCTTTTTATTTAAAAAGACATTCTAAACTTTTAAATGACATATTGGGAAAAGTATTATCATGTGATAGACCAGGAATTCACTTTTCTTGTAACAAGCTCTTAGGATAAAGCAATAAGAAATGGGCAAAGGACTAATATAAAAAGTGAGCAAGGGGTAAGAATAGAAAATTCATAAAAGAAATAAGCATTTGAAAAAATAGCTTATATTTGCTATTTACTACATGCTAGGCACTGTCCTAAGAATTTTACATAATATTATGTAATCCTTATAGGTAAATATCTTTATCTGCATTTTGTAGGTAAGGAAACAGTGACTTTGGCAAAGAAATGCAAATTAAAATAGTAACATTGAATTGTCATGACTAAAAAGCATGTTATAGATTAAAAGCTTGGTGGTGTGTGTTTGTGATGGGAATATAAATTGGAACATCCTATCTCAGCAACTGGGTATAGTATCTATGAAGTGTCTAAAATATATGCATACCTTTGGCCCTATTAGGTGTATTTCTAAGAATTTATCCTACTGAAATAATCTGATGAATATATAATGTAGGCAGTCCTTTTGTACATAATGGAAATCTGAAAAACACTGGTGAAAGTAGATATATGAATGCTAAAAAAAAAAAAAAAAAATTCTGTTCCAGAGGAATTTAAAAGAGAAAGATAAAATTTCTAATTATACATCTCCTTTATACCAGGTCTTTAATAATATGTATTTCGAGTATTTTGTTCATGTTCTTTACCATTGTTCTTTTCTCTGATGACTGAGTACCAGTGAATGGATTGAGTTCAGTGAGTATGTGATGGTGATCAAGATTAGCCACACTCACAATGCCAAGTGCTTTTTATCTTTGTGCCTATTATAAAAGTATATGATACTGTGCTGCTTATCACTAGTAGTAGCAAATTCATTTCTTTTTTGCACAATTCTTTATAAAAATAAAAGCAAATGCAATACATTAAAGGCAATGTAGCTGCCGTGTAATAGCTCAAAATGTTCACTTATTAAAACCAGTACATTCGGTGTATGAAAGAAGCTGTAGAAGTGTAGAATGTGTGAAAATTAGGATCTCTTATACAACTATGCTCACTGTATTTATAATAGTAAAATATTTGCAATGAACTAATCAGACTGAATAAATTTTGGTACATTTATTAAAAATCATGTCTATTATAGATGTATTTTTTCTATCTATTGACATGGGAAAAAGAGGTGAAAAGATTTGCAACATAGTTCCATTTTTCTTTAAAAAGGAAATACCCCCACTTATAAGTGAGTTTTGTGAATGATGGAGGTAAAGCTCCAATTTTATGTTCTTTCCAAATAGAAAGTTGGTGCCAGTTGTCCAAGCACCATTTATTGAAATCTCCATTTCCCCCCACTGATCTTCAATAGACCTCTGCCGTACATCATGTCTATATACATGTAAATGTTTCTAGTCTCTTTCTTCTATTGCTGTTCCATTTTCTCATACTTAATACTCTGCTTCTCTTAATTATTACAGTTTTATAATAAGTTCCATGTTTTTCTTTTTTTAAAACAGTCTCCTGGCTATTCTTAGCTCATTTGAGTTCTATGAATATTTTAGAATGTTTATTAAATTCCATATAGAAATGTTATAATATTGATCTCACTGCATTGTACCCATAGATCAATTTGGAGAGAAATGACATTTCTACAATATTGACTCCTCTCGCATATGAACGGGGTGTATCTCTTCATTTGTTTAGGGCTTCAATATCTTTCAATGAAGTTTTATAGTTTTCTCTAGAATATCCTGTCTTTTGCTGGATATATTCCCAGTTATCTTAATTTTTATGCTATTCTAAATAATATCTCTTAAAATTTCATTTTCTGTCTGATTTAGTAGATGGACATATAATTGACTTTTTATATCAATGCTGAATCAGCAACCTAATTAAATTATTATTAATTATTCTAACTTTCTTTCCATGAATTCTTTCAAATTTTCTATAGATTTAGTCATGGCCAATGCAAATAGTGCAAGTTTTGTTTTCTCTCTTCAAATACTTATCCTTACAATCCTTCATTTTACTTAGAGCACTGGCTAGGACCTCAGTACATGGTTGAGTAGAAGTAGCAATAACAGGAGTCCCCATCGTCTTTCTTATTTCTGATTTAGAGAGAAAGTCTTCATTGCTTCATTCTTGTATTTAATGTGTTTTCTTTTTTTATAGATACCCTTTATCAGATTAAGGAAGTTCTTTCTATTCCCAGTTTGCTAACCATTTTTATCTTTCATGTTAAATATCTTAGATACTTAATTTTATCAAGTACTCTTCCAGCATCTATTGAGATAATAAAGTTTCCTCATTTAATCTGTCAAAGCAATAAAATGAATTGATTTTTGAATGCTAATGTGAGACTTTTGGCCAAGATGGAGCAAAAAGCACCAGCTTTATACCTTAAGCACCTTAAACATTAGACAAAATCTATGAAACAACTGTATGAGACATTGGTATGAGACAAGCAGCATAGGTCAGTGAGTCCAGAGAGCAGGGAGTCAAACACGGTGAGCCTGGCGCTTGCCCCAGCTGACTGCTGGAGAGAGGCCACTGCCTGTGGAGAGGGAGCCCACACAGCCCATGGCCCCCCTCGGTTGAGGGGCCTTTGAGAATTCTGAGAAATCAAGGCAGCTAGAATTGCAAGGCAGGATTCAAGAAAACCACATGGAGAGGAGACCCGCACCCAGAACCAAGCTAGAAGTTTATGGAGGTTTCCTCTGGAATCTTCAGCTGAGTACTGACAGGTACATGCATGTGAGAAACCACCACCTGAGATGGAGGTTGAGTTAGCAATGAGCAGGCGGGACAGTCTCGGGAGTGTCAGTCCTCTCATAAAGCCAGGAATAGTTCATGTTCGAACCACTTAGAGTAGAAAATCCTCTTCAGACATGGGGCATTGGGTAATGTCCTCAGAAAGGTATCGCCTCACTAGTGAGTCAAAATTAATTCTAGACTAAAGGTTGCCCTGTTCCCTGTTAACAAAGCTAAAGGCTCACCTCCAAAGAACCACAGTTTCTTTATAGGTAACTTAATTGTGCTTCCAGAACAAAGCTTTAGAACAGGGGTCAGCAAAGGACAGCCCACAGGCCCGAATATCCTGCTGCCTGTATTTATACGGCCTTGAAGCTAACAATGTTTTTTACATTTTTAAATCATTGAAAAAAATCAAGAGTATTTTTCTGTTACGTGTGGAAATTGTCTTCAAATTTCAGTGTCTGTAAGTCAAATTTTACTGGAACACAAGCACACTAATTCATTTGAGTGCAGTCTCTGGCTGCTTTCAGCCACCATGGCTGGGTTGAATAGCTGTGAAAGAGACCTCATGGTCTGCAAGCCTTCAGTGTTCACTCTCTGGCTCTTTACCGAAAATGTTTCCCGACCCTGTTCTAGCTGAAGCGTGGCTCTCCCCTGGGCTCTGTCTTTCCCACAGCCTTTAAGCAGTGGCTGTGTTTTCTTTCTTTTCCTCCCCTTGTATGCTGGGCCTGGTGACTGGTGGTTGTCCTCCTGCCTCGTCACTGCTTTAACCCATTCTTCCTCCTCCTCTCTAACTCTCCCCCCAGCCCCACCTCTCAGTGTCCTATTGTCAGAGCAGATCATTGCTCCTGGGAGCTCCTGAACCCTGGGCCATTCTTACACATTTATCTATAATGTTAATTCGTAGCCCACTGTCTCCCTCTGCAATACTACTCCTGTCTTAATTCTCAACATGGCAGCCAGAGTGATCCTACTGAAATGAAGCCAGAACATATTTCCCTCCTTAGAACCCTCCAGTGGCTCTCTGCTTCATTCAGCCTAAAAGCCAGCTTCCTCACCATGGTCTATGAGGCTCTGCTGATGTAGCTCCTCTCTTCCCTCTGTCTTCCTCACTGTCGTCCCTGTCACTCACTCTGCTCCAGCCACATGGGCTTCCTTGCTGTTCTGTGCTGTCAGACATGTTCCCCCACCACCGCCTGAAGGCCTCTGCCCCAGTAATTCCCCTTGCATGGATTGCTCATCCGCAGATTAGGGGTTCTCAAAGTCCCATCCTTAGATCAGCACATCACTATCACATGGAAGTTGCTGGAGATGAAAATTCATGGGCCTCACCCCAGATCTACTGAACCAGAAACTTGGGATGGGGCCAGAGTCTGAGTTAAAAAAAAATATTTTTATTGATTGATTCATTGAGACGGAGTTTCACTCTTGGCACCCAGGCTGGAGTACAATGGCGCGATATTGGCTCACTGCAATCTCCGCCTCCCAGGTTCTAGCGATTCTCCTGCCTCAGCCTCCCGAGTAGCTGGGATTACAGGCACCTGCCACCATACCCGGCTAATATTTGTACTTTTAATAGAGATGGGGTTTCACTGCATTGGCCAGGCTGGTCTCAAACTCCTGACCTCAGGTGATCCACCCGCCTTGGCCTCCCAAAGTGCTGGGATCACAGGTGTGAGCCACTGCACCTGGCCAAAAATTTATTTATTTTTTAGTTGACAAAGAAAAACCAGAGTCTGAGTGTTGCCTGCTCTCCAGTGACACTTGCCAAACTTTGAGAACCACTGCTGTGGATGTCCACATCGCTGACTCCCTCATCTCCTTCAGGTCTCTTTTCCAAGGCTTCTCCATGGAACCCCCTTTTATAATGCAGCCACTGCCATCAGCGCCACCTCATGTTCCTTGCTCTGCTTCTTTGTTCCTTTTTTCTAATATACTCTGATATACTTGTGGTATCCTTATCTTCTAACACAGTTTATAATTTACTCTTTTACTATGATCTATCTATTCCCTCCAGTCTCTACAGTAGAAAGTAAGTTCTTTGTAGGCAGAAATTCATGTGCGTTTTGTTCATTGGTGTAACCCAAGCTCCGTGGGTTCATGGTGCATGATTGGTACTCAGCAAGTAGCTGAATAAAAGGTGAACTTTCAAAGTCATCCACTTCATGTTTTGTAATTCTTAGTTGAGAGTTAGTTGTTCTTTGTTACCCTTTAATCTTAGGCAAAGGCTTTAAGGCCCTCAGAGGCCTGTGGGTTATCCTGGGCCTGATGGTTTTGAATGTACCCCCAAAGAAACAAGACCTCTGTTTGAAGCTGACATAGAAGTTGTGGGATTCATTTACAGAGGGCTAAGTTTGTGTGGCTAGTCACTGACTGGTAGCAAGTTATGGGAAGTGGTCCAAGAATCAAGTCTGTTCTATAGCCATTTTGTCATAGCTGAAATCATCCAGAGCTTTCTGTGGCTGGAAATGGAAAGTTTTTAAACATTATCATAGAATAAATGGATTGCTATTTTTCAACTCTGGTTGCATACCAAATGTGTATGTAGAGCATTTAAAGGAGCACAGGCACCTGGGCTCTCCACACCAAGCAGCTGATTCCATGCTGTGATGTGAAGCTAATGTACAGTGAACACTGAGATTGCTGGGATGAGCTGAAAGCTTGGCCTGCAAGGGAAGTAATCCTAGAGACTAGAACAGTTAATAATTACTAGTGAGTGACAGAACGTCCAGAACCTCCCACTCTGAGTTTTCTGTTTGCTTATGTAGTAAAAAAAAAAAGCCAAGCAATGGAGATGAATTTTCTATAAATTATACCTCAGTAAAGCTCTTAGTGGGAAAAAGAAAAAAAGGCTGAGAATAGGTTCAGAATTAAATCACTACAAGTAGAGTCCCCTATTTGTACATAGCTTCAAACTATGAACCATCAAAGCTGAGGATGACAACACGCTGCATTAGCCAAATTTTAAGAGTAATGACGTTAGTGTTCTTAACCTTTTTAGAGCAAAGAAGATTTTCTGAATATCTGCATTGAACCTGACACCATCAGCAAAGGAGACTTTATAACTATAGGGTAAGTGGACTGGGGTTCATAGGAAATGAGGCTTGTGATTTTCTCCGATTTTACTATTCAGAGTGCCCCATGAAGTCTAAGACAGAGATCCAGCCAAAGCCTTGTCTTGTTTAGGAATTTCGATGTTCTTTCTTTCCTAGGGGCTGACATGTGTAGTGCCCCTCTCCTGTGTTGGCCGTCACTGCTCATTTTGTGGGGATCAGAATATAAGAGCAGTCTTTGTTTTTCAATTGAAACCAAAGAATTCAATGGAGCATGACACAGCGTCAAGAACTTTGGTTTCAGGCTCAAAGAGCTGAATGCAAATTTTGATTCTGCCACTTACCCGACGTCATGACTCGGATCATTTAGCGTCTGAATCCTTTCCCCATCTACAGAATGAAATAAGACAATCGTCTCTGCCGATCTTAGGACCGGCATTCAGCCTTGAGTAAGAGAATGTGTGTCAAGTCTTTTTATATTGTGAAGCACTTCACAGTATCCATTACTGTTTATGTCAGTTCACCACGTCCTCCTATTCCCGGGGCCTTCATGGAAAACTGGAAAAGGTATTGAGTACCTTGGGCATTTCCCAGGCCTTTTTCCCTTTCCAACACAGAATACCCTTCCAAGTCCTGTGATTTGTTAAGTCCTACCTCTGCCAGAATTGTATTGGTTAAGAACACTATAAATCCTCCTTCAGAGCATCTGAGGAGCTGGTGTGTTCCCATGCCAACTGGTAATTTGCTCAGCTCTGCTTTTCTGTGCTTTGTCTCAGAGCTCCCTCTTGTGCCCACTTAGGGATCACACATTTCTGTTGCAGCGGCCTGGTCTCCATGGCTACTTCATTATCTACACAGGCACATAAGTTTGTTGTTCTTGCCTTTGGCATAAATTCTTCAGAGACTGAATAGCTGATTCTGCAGCCTTTGATTTTCTTGCTGTATCTCTAGGAAAAAGAAGGGAAAATCCTGTTCCTTCTACAGAATGTCCAGAAATCACACAATCTTCACTGACAGTCTGACCAGCGAGACCAGCAATATTCAAATCTCCTTTATGATACTGGGATCCAGAAATAGAGACCCCAATTCTATTGCTAAAGTTAGGTGAACCCACTATGTTCTGCATTGTTAGCACCAGTGGCAGCCACAGTGTCCTTCTGTTCTCTACAGGAAGTGAAATCAAGCAATGTCTGTTTCCTCTGGATATCTGAAGAGAACATTGTGAAGTTGCATTAGAAAACTCTGATACCATTTCGTAGAATTACTGTTGTTAATGAATGATAAATAATGGACTAGTTTACCTGAATTAGCTTTTACTGTATTTCCACTGCCTAAAGGATATATCTGCATGAGGTGGAGTGTGTGTCTGAATATGCGCTGGAAATTTTACTCCATAGTCACTTAGTCAAGGTAGATATTGTATGCCAAATAGACTGTGTTATAAATACAGTCATCCCACAGTATCCTTGGGGGGTTGGTCCCAGGACCTCCCTCAGATACCAAAATCCAGATTCTCAAGTCCCTTCTATATGGTGGCATGGTATTTGCATAGACATATGCACATCCTCCCTGTGGACATTAAATCATCTCTAGATTACTTACAATACCCAATACAATGTAAATGCTATGTGGATAGTTGCTGTACTGTATTCTCTAGGGGATAAGAGTCTGTACATATTCAGTACAGTTGCAAAAATAGGTATTTTCTATCCTCGGTTGCTTGAATCCACAGGAGTGGGACCCACATATAGGAAGGGTTATCAGAGAACTTCTAAGACTAGTTGTTCATATACATAAAAATATCTACATTAAAGTAAAAATATTTTCTCCTTCAAGTAATAAATCACAAGAAGTACCAAATACCAGAAGTTTAGTACTTTTCCTAAAGAACTGAATTTCATTCTAATTTTTAAATTTGAGACTAACAATCTAAGAATTAGTTACATGTGGAATGATTATTTTTAAATCAATCAATTTTTAAATCAAGAGCATTTCAGAGAAAGTCATAACTTCATGCACAGTTCTCTACATTCAGTCTAGAATGTATCACAATGCTAAGCAAGAATCACTGTGGAAAAATTATTTACAGAACTCTGTGGCTTAATAGACCATCTGTCCACTTATGTAACCTCATAAAAAGGGGGAAAGAAGTTGCTACCTTGTTGCAACCTAATGCAGTTGCCATCACTGGTCTTAAGCTTGCTTTTTCCTGTGCCCACAGAAGTCGAAAGGTGAGAAACCCCAAGCTGCATGCCGAGGGCACGGAGTGTCTCCAAGCCAGCCGGTGCACCTTGCTTGTCCCCGAGGTGAGTGGGGAAGGGGTCGGTAGACCCACAGCATTTGATTCGTTCGTCGTCGGCCTGCCCCTCTGCTGTGTCCCATCCTTCCTCTCTGTTAGCTAACCCACACACTTAGGCACGTATTGGGTGCCAAGCATTTTGCCAGGCTCTGGGTCATATTAGCGGGGAGCCGAAAAGGATGGCAGAATCCCCTTCGGAGTCATGGATTTAGATTTGGACTCTTGAAGACTCCCATCGTTTTCAAGCCAAGGTTCTTCCCTAAAGTGGTTTTTAGGTCTCCTTTTATTTTTCCATATGTAAATAACGCAGACGGTGACTACATTAAGACAGAGAATTGTCTAGCTGGCAAATGTTAATAGTTGCTTTTACTTTAACATTTTATATAAAGGATCTGGAAGCAGTTTTCAGTTCAACACTGAATTTTTCTGTATTACAAAATGCCATGCTTAGAATAACCTATATAAGTGAAAAAAATGGAAATAGAATCTGGAATTGGGAGGTTATTCAATTGGCAATATGGAAAAGAGGCTCTTCAGATAGCCTTTGAAGACATGTGGCCATTATATTACTATATTCAGAAAAGGTATTCAGACATAAGTAAAGAGAAGGTATCCCCATAGTGACTGGCATCACAGTTTCGATATAAATATTGAATTAAATGCATGAGTTATGGAAGCGTTTCATAGACTTTGTAATGATATTAATGTTCGTATACCTTAGGTATATCAAGCTAAGCAAGTCTTAGAGAATAATGAAAATGATCCAGCAGATATAATAGCTTGTCATAAAAGAATTAGCTGTCTTTCTCTGTTTTTATTTGAGAAGGATTAGCATAATATAGAAGGACTGTGTTTATGAGTTCCTTAAGACGTTGCAGGACCCTTGCCTTTTAATACATATTTCAAAATTATAACCATGTTGTTCAAATCCCAAAATACTCTGGGAGGAGATAGGGGCTAAAAAAAGAAAATAAATCCTTTTTCATAGATGGTAGAATTAGGATGTTTCCAGAACCAGCACTGTGCCATCACAGAGTAGGCACTGAATGTTTTTTGTAAAAGAACGTTAGGGTAATCCTCAAGAGAGGATGTTGTTTTCCGTAATGAACTTGTTCTGGTGCTGTTGTGAGACCCCAACTCCAGTAGGCCACTGATGTGGGTTTGAGCTGTTCTGAATATTCTCTTCTCCCCAGGGAGCAGGGGGCTCTTTTAGCATTGACAGTGAGGAGTATGAAGCGATGCCTGTGGAGGTGAAACTGCTCCCCAGGAAGCTGCAGTTCTTCTGTGATCCTAGGAAGAGAGAACAGATGCTCGCAAGCCCCACCCAGTGAGCAGCAGAAGACAAGCGCTCTGAGACCACACTTTAGGCCACCGGTGGGACCAAAAGAACAGGTGCCTCAACCATCCCAATAGTGTTGTCAGAGGGTCCCCAGGGCATTTTCATGGCAAGTACCCCTCTGCCCCCACTCCAGCAGTGCTTCCCGAAGTGTGCTCTGTCACCTGCTTTGCAATCAGCTTCCATTAGTGCATGTTTTATTTTGGTGTGACGGTCGGCGCTCCTAAACACGAACTTTCCTCAGGCTGGTTCAAGATGGAAAAGGACTTTCTTCTGTTTTCTTCCAAAGTGCAACCACAGTGGGCTTAGCCTGCCTACGCCCTTCCATTTCTGTTCTTTGACCGTGCTAGGAATTCCAGGAAAGTGCATTCCTTCCCTGGCGACCTTTTCCTATTTCTAGGCTCCTTCACGGGTGCTTCTGTTTTGTGAGCTCCGGCTCCTGTTTAGCTTTTATTTCAGTTCTATCCTCAGTCCAGAAATGTAGGCGAGGTTGGTTCCCTCTTCAGCCATGGCTACAATACTGTAAATTGCTAGTTTTTATTTTTTTAAGTAGTGCTTCCTAAATGGTTTGCATGAGAGCCACCTGGGGTACGTGTTGAAAATTGATTTGGGGTCCACTCCAAACCTAATAACCCAAATTGGGGATGGGGTCCAGGAATATGCATTTTTAAAAAGTCAGCTGCCCTTCCCAGGTGATTCTATAAGTTGTCCCTCAACCGTACTTGGAGAAATAGTGTTTTAAAGCAGTGGTCCACAAAGTATTCTGCTCACGTGCCCCCCAGAAGTATTTTGAAAAATCATGTATCCCCTCACCCATCTAAGTTGACATCTAAAATTTTTCATGGGAAGTTAAATAGTTGACAAAGTATGTATTTGCTGGTGTCGTGTAAATATTGGTATTCTAAAATAAAAACTGTTACATCACTATTTTAAACATATCCAGTACAATTTAAATATCATAACAATTTGACACCCTTCATTCATTTATAAAAATAAATGAGCTAGTTCTTTAGTAGTTGAACATTTCAAATTGGCTTTTCTCCTTCTGTATTTCTATACTACTTTTCAGCCAAGAATCCTGTCAGAATGTAATCTATTATGCCTGCCATCTTTTAATCATTCACCCCATTATCTTGTCAACAAAAAATATAAATGGAAATAAGTTTTTTTAGTTCTTGCTTTAAGTGTTTATCTATCTCAGTCCAGAACAAATGTTATAATTATTGGTATATAATGAAAACGGTATTAATATAATTCTTTGATGATTAAAAGTTGTTTTATTAGAATGATCTTTATCCTAATTACTTCATTTATCCAAGAATACATGAATGTGATTTACAGCTGAGATGGGGTTCAACCTCAGCTGTATTCCTTGTTTCATTTCTTTATAGATGTAAGCACATAAATTCTATGGAACAGAATTATGTTAGCAATGTCATACAGTTCTTTGAATTCCTTTGGAATTTCGACAAAGATCACAGTGCCCTATCATCAAGAATTATTGATGATGATCTATCAACTAACAACTTCATTAGATTCTCCTTTAGTCTGTTGAAAGCGGAGAACTAAAATCCACCTGATTTGCCAGGGCTTTGCCAGCCAGTCATTAGCACCATTTTTTCTACCGCAGACATTTTCCTTTGTTCAGTGCCCCTGAGGTTCTTACACTCTAGGGGGCAGTGCACCACAGGAAGATCAATGAGGGAGGATTGCGAGGGGGAAAGGGAGGAAGCAGAGCTGGCAGGCCTTAGCTGCAGGCTCAGTCTCAGGCAGATCCCTTTTAAGACAGAGTACCTAGACCATGCCCCCACATCCCATGGAGATAGGAGAGAGACCAATGCTTGAGTAGATTACAGAACAGCTATGAAAAGTCCATGAACAAAGATCACAAAAAGGAAGGCTTTCTTATTTCACACTGTATTCTTTAGGGCGGTAACAGTTCTTTAGCAAAAACATAACAGATGGTTCCAAACATCAGCATAAAGATCACTCATCCCATACCACCCACAGGTAGGGGGGAAGGATGCTGTGGTATATGAAAATAAAAGTTTTCACCTGAGCCGAGAGCATTTAGCATATCGTGGTTCTGTAACAGTTTCAAGGACCAGTGCAGAATCTGGCTTTCTTCTCTAATTGATAGGCTACCAGTGTGTGTGTGTGCTCATGTAATGGTTCTAATCATAATGGTACATATAATTAAGGAAGGATATGGAAGCCACTTTAGAATCTTATTCATTTTTAAATATAAATATGCCTTGTTTCCTTGATTCAGGTTCTTTCCTGTGAGGGCTTGGTTTCCTTATTGTTGACTGCTTTGTTCTTTGCCTTGTCCTTCCCTATAAAGCCTGCATGGAAGACGTTTAACAGTGCAACTAAAAGAGAGTGACCTGAGTGAGACTTGTCAGCCAAAGCTGGAATGCTGAGTTATCTAGAGGAGAACCTAATAACCCAATTTGGGGATGGGGCCCGGGAATCTGCATCGGGAAGTCGGCCACCCTTCCCAGGTGATTCCGTTTAGTACAAACTTTTTGACAGATTAATTTCACTCAGATGCAAAGATTAATCCCAGCACTCTGGGAGGCCAAGGCGGGTGGATCACCTGAGGTCAGGAGTTCGAGACCAGCCTCGCCACCATGGTGAAATCCTGTCTCTACTAAAAATGCAAAAATTAGCTGGGTGTGGTGGCAGGCGCCTGTAGTCCCAGCTACTCTGGAGGCTGAGGCAGGAGAATCACTTGAACCCGGGAGGCAGAGGTTGCAGTGAGCCAGGATCACACCATTGTACTCCAGCCTGGGTGACAGAGCAAGACTCCATCACAAAAAAAAAAAAAAACCACAGTTGCTTTCTGTAAGATAGAGTTTAAGATAAAGTTTATAAAGCTTTTTTTCCTTTCCCTCACAGCTGCTTTGCACATATTTGGATGCAGTTATATTTCCTAAGTGCCAGTGCTTCACACATGTAACTGATGCATCGGTTCTCACAATAACCCTAGGAAGTAGGTACAGGTTGAGCATCCCTAATCTGAAAAGGTGAAATCTGAAATCCTCCAAAATCCAAAACTTTCTGAGTGCCACCATGATGCTTAAAGGAAGTGCCCAGTGGAACATTTTGGGGTTGGATTTATAATGCAAAGATTCTAAAATCCTAAAACATCTGAAATCTGAAAATACTTCTAAGTCCCAAGCATTTCGAATAAGGGATACTCAGCCTACAATAATATATGGTTACATAGCTCAGAAAACAGGAACCTGGCTTTGAATCCAGGCCATTTGATTTACAGAGCCAGTGATAGCAATGTACCCTATACTGGTTCTAAATACATACTCTAACTCCCCAAAAGGTTAAGAATGAAATAAAAGTTTAGAATCTACACATACACCAAATATATATATATATATACACATACAATTTTAAACTGAACTTTGATAAGAGAGTTTGTAAAAAGGGTGGTGGTCTCTGTGGGATTCCAGAAGTTTCCTGATGTAATTAAGGGTACACAGCCCTGTCTCTTCTGGGTGGCATAGTTATTCCCAACTTTGTTTCCCATTACCTGGAGAAAGTCTGTCCAGACCGTGGCTTCCAGAAGGACAGGTAGCAGCTCCCCAATCTCCTCCATCATCACTGTAAGTGAAGTCAGGTTCAGCCCCCATGGGCTCTGCTCATGGGGTAGGCCACCATTCCTTCCTACCACAAACCACTTTTCTCGGACTGGAGAAGGGACTGCAGCACACATGTTCATGTTAAAATGTGAACTTTAATTGTAAAAATCATTTTCTGTAAATATAGTTATATCAACCTCTCTGCACACAACTTGGTTCATATATATACAGATATGATATTCATAGATGTTATTTGTACCACAGAACAAAATCATTGCAAGAAACACTTACTCTTAGGATTAACCCCAGGTTTCTTTAGGCCTTAAAATTACCACCACTGGAAACAGAGAGCACAGCATACCTGGGCACACCAGTATTCAGGGCAAAATTTATGAAGCGTCTTACTAATTTCATAATATGAGGTAAAGACCCAAAACAAAAATAGATTCAGTCTCTTGTATTGCTATAACTCTTAGGCTGGGGTATTAATCAAAATAGGATTTTTACATTTAAGGCGACAGGGAGGCTATGCTGATTCTAACTCAAAGAAATGAGAAAACAGTTTTTCTAAGGCTACAACTATTTGTTTAGGCTTACTTTCCCAGACCTATACAAAAATTCTGTCAACAAGCTTTGGGTAAATAAAGGAAATTCCTTTTGCTTTCCTCTGCTCTCTGTCCCTGAAGTCACTCATCCAGGTTGGCTGCTCAAACGCCAAGAATCTCCACCATTCTTCACTTGACAGCCTTCATGGACACGTTAGACCCAAATTTTTTTGTATAACACCATCTTAAAATTTTTCAATATACTGTATCTTTCTTTAGTTTACCCAAAGGAAGGAGTTTTCACTCTAATGTCAATATATTTGCAACCATCCAATTCAATGACCTCCGCGTCGACTGTTCACTTTGTGGATCATCTCTGGCTAATTGAAAACATCCTGCCTCATCCCCACATTCTCTGACTGGCCTTAGACAGCAAAGTAAATTTATTATTAGTCTAAATAAGCATTCTACAGCAAACATAAGTAATTCACACCTGGCCTGCTATGAAAATTAAATTTTCTGAATTTAGATCATATTAGCTCTAAAAGCCCCACAGTATGCTAAAAATCAAGAGTAAATTCTAAAAAGATGAAAGCAAGGCTTTTTTCTCCATCATTTCTTTATAGAGCACTAGAAAATTCTTATTCCCCTTCAAAATTTGCAGTTTCACCCGACTGCCCCTAAATTCTAGTTCCAAAAACGAATTAAAGTGCCATTTATAACACTACCTCCCACTCCCACCTCTCTCAAGAAAGAGGCCTAAAAATAAGAATGATGACATTTACCCTTTTTTGTACTAGAGCTTTACTTAAGGTTGGTATTTTTATGTCAACCTTCCTAGGACTGTCAAGTCTACCTCCTAAAGAGCATGTCAAGATTTCATAGCACAATCTCCTTATTCACTCTCCAAATTATTTACAAAGTAAAACTTCTATGGGGTCTCAGCCACCACCAAATTACAAAACTGCCCATTTCTTCTAGCATAATAGTTTTAAAATTTCCTTCCATTTCAGTATATGCATACTCAGTTCATCACATAGTAATATCAATAAAAAAATAAACTTCCATTTCTTATAAGAAAAACATTAACTTAATTCACAGTTAGCCTTTTCCCACAACACTCAAGACTCCAGTAGCTTCTAGGAACAGAGGTATTTTAGTAATAAAAATGGAATATTAAAAATCCATGACTTGGGAGTAAACGGAGCCCTTAACTCCTCCTCTCCCCCTACCTGAATCAGAAAAGGGTTTTCCTGAAATGAGAGGGGACGGGACTGGGATCAGCAGGATTCTCACCTCGGTATAACTACAAGGTACAGGGGAGAAGACAGGAGGGATGGCCATTTGGCAGAATCCAAGCCTACTAGCTTGGGATCTATTAGGGAGACAAAAGCCTATGCCTGGCATATTGGTCCCCCATCTGATTTTCTTGCCCATGTTAGAACTGTCATCACACTAAGGCAAGTTCACTGCCAAGCTGAGCATTATCCTGTTTTATTCATCCACCTGCCCACTCCTCCTCTACCTCTGCAAGGATGACCTATACAGGGACTGGAGAAAGCATCTCAATCCATTCCCCGGGCTGTGCAGTTTCAAAGGGAAATAAATGGTCCCTCGGGTCTCTGCCTCTTCTCAGAGGGTTGATGTCCTACAACTGAAAGCCTAATTCACTACTGCCCTTTACAAAAGCGTCCCTGAAGGCCTCAGTTTAAAGGTGAGTGATTTCATCTTTTATTGTGTTTGAAGGGCTTTCAATGTATCAAGACTGAGAGCAAATTCATCCTTATAGCCACCAGAATGAAAAACAATGATTTAGCTAAGATTTAATTTATCTTCTAGCTAAAGTCTCATCGGTAGTTACATGACCAACAAATGTTCGCATGTGGCATCTGGAAGCATGTGCACCTGTGTGCTAGCCTAACTTTCTTGTCTTGACTTTAAAGTGGAACAAAACAAGGTAAGTTATAGATGCGAGTTCCTAAGCTAAATTACTTCTATTGATACATCAATGATTTCAGCTTCCCTCCCCCTAACCAGATGGAGGCACAGATGCTATAATGGATGATGGATATGGAAGACAAAAGCCTTCTCATTCATTGCAATCATAATTTACTGAGGACTGTAGAGGTCCCAGGTGGGACACTGAATGGTCTCTACCAGGCATAGGGAATGTTTCATGTTTAAAGCCCAAGCAAATTCTAAACACATAATTTGGACCATACTTTTATTCTGGTAGGGGATAAGCCCTACCGTTTGGAACTCCTTGTGGAGAGTCCTAAGCCAGGAGCCAACTGGACATTTTCCCAAAGGCTGAGTAGTATCATCTGCTGAGCCCACAGAATTGAAAACACCCCCTTGAACAGGCCTTTGTCATATTTTACATGGACACCAACAAGCCCCAAACCCGAATTCTCCTCCCACCTGGAATTTCTTCTGACTTAGGAACAACAGGGCAGCCCAGCCAGCGTCTCAGGTCAGCAATTATTTCTAAACTGGCACATGCTTCATTTCACAGTGTGGCATGAGATCAGGCTGAAAGCTTCACAGGAGAACTAGGCCTGCTCAGGCAGGCCAGGGCTGAGGCTCAGCAGGAGATAGTAGCAGAAGGTATCACACCACAAGTTTCCAACCCTCCTCTAGGAGGCCAGTGGTAATCATAATGCCCGCCCCTAAAGAGCTTACACACCTAGAAGTCTGTGAACGATGTTCAGCACTTTCTTCTGAACAAAAGCAGATGGTTTCTCAGAAAATATTTCACTGCCTCACTGGCACATTCTCCTTTGTGGCCACCCATACCCTGGCCCTCTGCATGAGCGGGAGGGTGGACTGAGACAGAAAGCTACCGAGACAAGCACAAAGTTAAGGGAACCCAGAAGCCCTGACTCACCATTCAAAGGAAAATACAGGAACTTCATTCTCACCCTGCTGTGTTTACACCAGCACTTCTGAGCTTGCAGTTAAACCCGCAGAGTGTTTGCATATAGAAGGCTTGGAGCAGAAATGCCTAAAACAGCTCCTCCTGGCAGATTCCCTAATTCCAGAGAAAGGTCTTCCTGTGTCCTCTAGGAGAATCAGACCTTTCCTTTCACTCTTGCTCCTGCCTCTAACCACCTACCCCCAGCTTAAAACACCCTGAACCTCAGGATACCACGAAAAGTAACCATTAGCCTTAAGTTAGAAAGGACCCCTCAACCCTTGAGAGGCAAGAGGAGAGGTTGTGTGTAAAGGAGAAAAAAAGATGAGTCTTCAACCTCGAAACACAGATGTTTTTTTCTTTTGTAAACATCTACATTACTGAAATGACAGCAACCAACACTGCAGAGGAGAAGTGTATTAGCTGGACAGTTTTCATTTCAATGCCCAAACTTATTTATATATTTACATAAAGATGCTACCTTGATTAATCAATGTCTATTTGCATGTCCACGTGTGAATTTCTTCAGTTTTGATATTCCATATGAAGGAGCTACAGTGAAAATACTTTTGAATAAAGCAGTGAACCCTAAGCACCTTGAGATGAGATGTGTGACCCCCCATTTGAATGTTATTTCTCTCTGCTGTGTACGTTAGTCTGGCTGGGTCTTGGTCACAGACATAGATGCACTGACGGCTATTCCCATAATCGAGCCAGGCGGGAAGGGGGAAGAGGAAGACATTATTTGTCACCAGCAACCCAGTATCCCAAGTCAAAATTCTCAATCATGGCCAAGAAGGCGTAAACTCAACCCACAGGAACTGGCTTTCTAACTGGTTGACAAACACGTAAGCTGCCCTCCTGCAAAAGCCAATCAGAGGACAGGCAGGTGAAAATGGGACCCAGCCTAGAGCAGAGCACTTCAGAAGAGAATGGATAAATCCATCAGTGATGCTCGGGGCTTCCTGACTACTGTCCTGGGTGAAGGCACTGCCACATTTTCTCTCAACAAATCTGTTATGTCCCTGGATCCAAAGATTTAGCCTAAGGAATGTCACCTCTGCTAAAGAAAAGTGTGTTTGTGAGGGGTCCAAAATGATGAACGGTCTTGTTAGCATCATGCTCCACCCTCTGAGTTAACCAGCTCAGATCCTTGCTAGATTTCAGAATCCAGAAAATCTGTGTTGATCCAGAGTTGCTACTGCGAATGCCTCCAGAGAACTCATGTCCAGATGAAGAGACTTAGAGTGACTTCTCCATCCTGTTCGAACTTCAACTGCTCTATCCTCCAGTAGCCCAAACTTCAGCCTTTAAAAATACCCCTTACTCCAAGAGCATATTGAACCCTTAAGAGACTAAATTGGAAAATTAATTTGCTTGCAAGCTCCAAGGCCAGCACTGGCCCTTAACAGTTCACCAATTCATCCCAAGAGGAGGGGTTTAGAGAAAGAGGAACATTACATTGCATGGCCACCATGAAGTTACTTTGAGGAAGGTTTCAAGGCTTCAATCTACAATTTTAGTTTTCAGCTCACTGATAAGCAACCTCTGTCATTCTGACCATAAGATAAGCTCACATTTGGTGTCAGAAACATCCTTTTTTCCTTCTTTGTGGTCCCTACTCAAGTAAACAGAGAAGACATAAAGTTGCCCCAGTGAACAAGAAAAGGGATTTGATCCCAAGACTCCTAGAGCTACTAAAAACTTTAAAAGATCATCGGGTCTAGTTTCTGCCTTTAAGCAGATGAACATCTTAAGGCCACAGGGGACAGATGGTTGTCTTATTCTCAAATACGTCAAGGGACAAAGACCGCACAAACTTTCTGAACAGTCCATCCCAACATTTCCAGAGCTCAGCCCACTCCTAGTGATACAACTCCTATGACCAAGCCCAAAGGACCAGCAGCTCTGGGAGAAAGTGGCAGATTCCAATATCCTAACATGGCAGGACACTAAACCAAGGTGATCTCACCTTATCTCTAGGGAAAAGGGCAGAAAGGAAACTGCAAAAATTATGTTTGTTGGAAAGTATAAACAATATTCCTTCGTGTCAACTTAATAAAAAATGAGGCCCTCTGGGGGCCTGGGGTGAACTCCAGGCTGCTGACATCCCACATGAAGCGGCTCCCAGTCCTGTTGGCTCCTCCTACGGGCAACAGGGGTTGTCGATGACTAGCATGACATCAATGCCATAGGCCTCCAGCAGGTCCAGGAGAAAGCTCCGGTCTCCTTGGGGGTCTAGGCCCATGCCCCGGGCATGCTCTGCTGTCAGAGTTTTGTCTTGACTGGCAGACACCTCCAACAAAGTCTGAAATATCCGGTTGTTTTGTTCTAGGAAAAATCTGCATTTAGAAGACAAGACACAGGAAAGGAAGGGGGGAAAAAAACTCACTAGATAATCCACATATGGGGAACCAAAACTATACTGTTGTTTAATGTACTTTTCAGTGGATTCGCAGGTATCTTAAGAAAAGAGTAAAAGTTAAACAATTATTCAAGTGCTACTAAAGTTAGCAAAGAAACCATTTGGCATTAATTATGGTGTGATTAGGGAAATCTCTAAACAAGATGGCCTGTCAAAATCCATTTTCCTGTTGAGGGAAGTGACCGGGGTTTAAACACAGCCTGAGAAGAGGCCCCCACACACTGCTTTTCTCTTTCTGCTTAGTCATAGGAGGAAGCAAAAATTCAACACCACCAACAAAATGAACATGAGCCAACATTACCCTTGGGTGTTTGCTCTCCCTTGATGACTCTTTGGGAGGAGTGAGATGCACAGATCAAGATTTAAAAGTCACTGCTTTAGAGTGCTTTATGAACAAACAAGCCCCGTTCAGGACAGCGCTCACTGTCTAGTTAGACTAGACAGTCCAGCCCCATACAGCTCTCAGGTCTGCAAAGTGCCCGGTACCTGAAGTGGCCCTGGGTGCTCAGGAATTTCAGACACAGTGGTACATGTCATACTGGATGAGACTGTGGCTGTGCTCAAGCCTCAGATACTTTCCACCTAAACAGGATGTAGGTTTTAGGAAGTCCCCTATTAGAATCAAGATGCTGCACCTTTGTAGAAATGCCCACATTAAGTTTTCAACATCAAACCACAACCTCAGCCCTGGAAGACCAAAGAGGAAGCTGGGAGAATTCAGTTCACAGCACAGAAGGCTACTGCACCCAGCTGTCTAGGAATGAAGTCAGTGCTGTGAGGTGGAAAGGCCCTGGTTCCTACCCCTACGGGGCAAAGAGATTTCATTTGATTCAAGAATTAAAATTTCAGATTATCCCATAATACTCAGTGCAAGGAACTACTCTATTCAAAGGAGGCAATGGAAAGGAGAAGTCCCTGAATCCTGAGGGACAGACAGCTTCTGTGCAGTGGACATCCTTGATGGAAAAGCCCAACAAGAAAAGAAACACTAAGACTCCTGTTTTCTCTTAAGGGCCCTGCTTCTTTCCGTAAGTCCTCTGGGTTCCCCCAATGGCATTGCAGGCTCAGGTTTGCCTCTGTAAGGAGCCTGGCTCGAAGTGCCCTTGGCAGCAATAAAGGGCATCCCTGGTCCACAGTGAGTGACATGGGAGGGATGCAGGTCACTCAGTGCTGAAGGGATCCTCAGGGAGACCCCACGCCCATGGCCCCAGGACTCACAGCACGAAGAGGTCCTCTTCACAAGGGTTGTAGTCTTCTTCTACTTCCTGGGAGTACAACAGCATCTGCCTGTTGGGAAGGAGAGAACCATGAGACTCTGGTGCAGGTACCAGGACCCCAGTCACAGGTGAGGCCTCAGCCAGGCATCTTCAATGGGCCACCACCTCCCAGGAAGCAGCACCAGCCAGGAAAGGGATCAACAGGGTTTGGACTCAAAATTCCTGGGGTCCAGGGCCAGTTCTGCCCCTGGTAATCTTAGGCAAGTAGCAATCTTTCCCAGTTGTCTATCAGTGGGGGATGATGATAACATTTATTTCATAGGATCACCAGATTATTGAGAATGACATCAGATACGTATAAGCAAGCTTCTAATACAGCGACCAACACAGCGAAGGTGCTCAGTCAAGGTGCTTCTACGCCGCACACACAGGTACATCTAAAGGTCACGTGGAGAGCATCTGGCAGCTAAGGTAATTTCCACAGATTCCAAAGTCCATGAGAAGAAAGAAACCAGCACCGTGGATCTACTCCCCTCCTATCAGGGCAGCATACAGGGAGCCTGGCCTCTTCCACCGCAGGGCTTCCCTTCGTTTCCATCTCCATCCCAGGCAGCATGGGGACTGGCAGAAATGCGTCAGGGAAGGGACAGAAGACAGGCTTTGCAGAGACCCCCATGCTGGAGCTGCCCTGAGGAGGGTGGAGCCCCTGGTTCTCCCCGTAGCTGCCGCTACCTCTGCTCATTGAGCCGGCGGTACTTCTCCCTGTCAGCACTGTTGATCTTCAGCAGCGGCTGCAGGTGGTCATGGTGTGTCTTCACATTCTGGTTATCCACGTAGACGTCATACAGCTCCCGCTTCTCCTCAAATATCTTCTCTGTGGTGCCTGTGGAACCCGGGGTTAGAGAGGCGGGAACCCACCTGACCCCCCTGGGAAGCAAGGCTCCAGGAGCCCCGCATCTGGCAGGAGCAGGGCTGGGACCTGAGGGCAAGATGAGGGGAGGCCCCCGTACTCACAGGCCACATAGGACACCTCTACCTCCAGGCTCTCGATGTCGGCCACGTTCACGTAGAAGAAAGGCTTGGACTCAGGAATGGTGCCCCCGATGCCAGGCAGTGAAACGTTGGCCAAGCAGCAGCAGCAGTACACTGTGGGGACAGAGGAGGTGAGTGGGGAGGGTCTGCCCCTCCACCCCCTTCCTCCCTTGGAGCCTGCAGCTCAACACCTCTGCTCTAGGCTATCTGGTGCCTCAGGAGCCAGGTGGTCCTGGCATTCTGAGGAGACTGGAGGTAGCAAGCCTCTTTAGGTCCCACAGGAGAAACTGATCCCTCAAGGTGACGTCGGCAACATGTTTCCCAAACCCAATAAACATTTCTCAGTCTTTCTCTAGCTGGTCATGCTTAGAATTTGACCTTGTCAGAACTCCGGCCTCTATAACCCTTGTGTCTTCTGGTTCCCCCTTCTGCCTGTCCCTCCCCAGTCCTTTCTGTCCTTCCACCTTTCTGGTCCACCTCCTGTGTCTAGAACACCCCTCCACACTTGTACTTTCCCCAGGTAATGCTGTCCATCTCAGATATGAGTGCAGAAATAATCTCTCTCCCTCAAATCTTTATCTCCAGCTCAAACGCCCACAGGTCCTGACCCAGCTATGCAGGGTGGGCGGACACCCCTGCTGTGAAGGTCTCAAGGCAGCACACCCTCATCACATCCCACACTAACCTTTTCAAGGCAGCCCCCGGCTGCTCCTCAGTCCCCCATCTGGTGGCCCCACCACCCTTGTTATCCTAGACTCTTCCGTTGCAGCCTCACACACATCAGAACCTTTACAATCCAATCTGACAAGTTTTGTCCAGTTTCTCTAAAATACATCTAGAATGCATCTTCTCTGCTTTAATCCAGACCCTAATCTTTGGCCACGCCACTGATGTGTCATCCGGCCCATCTTCTACATTGCCACCAGCGTTCACAGCCAATCAGGTCACTCCTGGGCTTAAAACCCCATCCCCTTGATGTGGCCCAAACTCTTCCAAACTTGATCAGTGACAGAAAGACTCAAGCAGTTCCTGCTCCAGGGATTTAAGCAGCACCCCTGACTCTGGCTTCTGGTTACCTCTATAGCACACCACGCCCACAGGTGGGGGAGAAAATATCAAAATGCGCTTTCGAAGTAAGGCAAATTTCCAGAGGATGAGGATCTGTTCTCCAAAGAACTTTATAAACTGAGACATGCAGCCAGCTGGGTGTGTGATCTGAAAAAATTGAGGGGAATAGGGAGGAGAAAGAGTGAGGAACAGCTTGTTAGAAATATAGCTAAAGGTATCTAATCCTCACCTCCGAAATTCTGAAGTCCATCCAAACAGATACATTAAAGGATGCTTATTTCCACACAAAATGATGTTTTTCACTTTAAAAGTCTTCCCTTTAAACTGGATTTCTATAATACAACAGCTCCCTGATACACTGATGTTTGAGTTTAGAGATCATTCTTTTACTCAGGAGAACAATGCAAAGAAAACAAAGCTAAATTTAAATTTTAAAAAAATCAGAATAAAAGCATCTCTGAAGACACATTCTGCTTCAATAAGAAAACTCAACTTGAAAACATTACTAGGCACTGTAAGTAATAACACAATGAGCAAACAGTCCCCAGTCAGATCCCAAATCTACAGGACTACTACTGTGCAAAGTGAGGTGTCTGCAGAAGTCACAGGTAGGAAGGAGCCCCTGGCATAATCCCTGCTACACTTCACCTCTGACCACTCTTCCTTCTTTTTTTGAGATGGAGTCTCACTCCCTCTGTCACCCAGGTTGGAGTGCTGTGGCGTGATCTTGGCTCACTGCAACCTCCACCCTCCTGGGTTCGATTTTCCTACCTCAGCCTCCCAAGTAGCTGGGATTACAGGCATGCACCGCCAAGCCCAGCTAATTTTTGTATTTTTAGTACAAACAGGGTTTCACCACATTGGCCAAGCTGGCTTTGAACTCCTGACCTCAAGTGATTCACCCACCTTGGCCTCCCAAAGTGCTGAGATTACAGGCATGAGCCACCACGACTGGCCCCACTCTTCCTTCTGACACTAACTGGCAACCCCTGAATTGCCTTCTGGGAACCCTGAGCCAAGGAGTATCATAGGGGTTAAGAGCATAAGCTCTGATCCCAGGAAGAGCTGAATTCCAATCCTGGCCCTGCCATTTACTAACAGGGAGATCTGGGGAAAGTTAGCTAATGTTTTCAGTTCACTATCCTTAACTGTGAACTATGGAATCATCACTTACCTTGTAGGGTTATAAGGACTGCCTGAGACAAAACATGAAATAGCACATAAAAACAGCCAAGGCTATTTTTAGAACAGAAAGGCTTCAAACTCCAGGCCTCACAAACCCCGTAAGCTTTGTGAAAGGTCACTTCCATGCCAAAGTGCCAGAAGTAAGAGCTCATCACCCATCAGGGAGGCAGGCAAGAGCACTTCTGAGAGAGGCACCGACTCCCAGGCTGCCTGCTAGGGTTTAACAACTACCAGCCTTTGGGGGCACCTACACCTGAGCCTCAGGGCAGCCTCTGCACTCTGCCTGTCCAGGTCAGGGCTGTCCTGGGCCCTCCGAAGCTGCATCTGCAGTACCCGGAGAGGATATCCCTTTCCAAGCCATCACTCCTGCACTGATACCATTTCCCTACCCCATGCCAGGATAAAGGCAACCCTGCGCTGAGCATGCCATTTGCCACCCATGCCTACTCCTCTGCCACCACATCTCAAATCAGGAGGAGGAGAGGCACCAAGTGACCAAGGCTGGTTGCATCCCTCCAATCACTATCTCTCATCAAAGTCTTAACAGCAATCAGATAGGAAAGGGCGCCAAAGCATGCCCTCATTCCTCCCAGCTTTCCCACTGGTTATCTTCAAGCGTCTAACTTGTTCTTCCACCACATGGAGGCCAGGCAGGGCTCGCCCAGCGTATATTTTATAGGTTAGTGGGAGAAACAGGTAAACAAGCATTTAAAATACAGCCTGATGGGAGCCGTGATGGGAGAAGAATGGGGGTTGGTGGAGCAAACCAGAGGGTGCCTCATCCCACTCTAGGAGAGACAGAAAAGACTTCCTGGGGGAAGTGATGTTGAAGCTTTGACATAAAGATGAATCTGAGGCTGGGCGCGGTGGCTCACGCCTGTAATCCCAGCACTTTGGGAGGCCGAGGTGGGCAGATCACAAGGTCAGGAGTTCAAGACCAGCCTGGTCAACATGGTGAAACCCCACCTCTACTAAAAATACAAAAAATTAGCTGGGTGTGGTGTCGTGGGCCTGTAATCCCAGCTACTTGGTAGACTGAGGCAGAAGAATCGCTAGAACCTGGGAGGCAGAGGTTGCAGTCAGTTGAGATCGTGCCACTGCACTCCAGCCTGGGCGACAATGCAAGACTCCGTCTCAAAACAAACAAAACAAACTAAAAAAACAGATGAATCTGAGGGAAGGTGTTCACATACAAAGGCCTGCAGGTAAGAGGGAACATGGCCCTTCTTGGGACCTGCAAGTAGTTCAGGTCCTGTGCCCAGGCCCATGCCAGGAAGCACTGCCCATAGGACCACCTCTTCTCTTCTAAAAGAGTCAGCTCTAGAGACTTCTCACCCCTCCTCACTTTACCAGGCTCACTGCATATGCAACAGAAATTTCTCCTGCTTTCATTGACATCTCTTTCCCTTTTTCCAGCCTTGTTTCTCTGTGGCTTTTACAGAGATCTCTCTTTCCTTGATGTCTCCAGTGTGTACCTTCATGTTTTCCCTCCAACCTTGCAAGTCCATACTCCATCCTCTTTTCACTCCAATTTCTTTTTACTCCCTAACCTCTGTCAGCTCAGTCTCCATAGCAGGCTCTGATAATACCCATGCCTGCCACTAGGGAAGCCCTCCACTCCTGGGGCCCAACCCTCCTCCCCTATATCCCTCTCCCACTCCCCCATTTTCCTAAGGGGAGCATTTAGCAGCCACATCTGGATCTCTCAGAGAGGTCTTCCTGTTCCCTCTGCTTCCTTTCCAGTTTATTTTCTTTCCCTCTGAAACAGTCCTATATCTGACTCCTACATTAAAAGTCTACTTCTTTAAAGTTTTTTGTTTTTTTTTTTTTTGAGAGGGAGTCTTGCCCTGTGGCCCAGGCTGGAGTGCAGTGGCGCTATCTCGGCTCACTGCAACCTCCGCCTCCCGGGTTCAAGCAATTATCCTGCCTCATCCTCCCAAGTAGCTGGAATTACAGGCGTGCGCCACTATGCCTAGCTAATTTTTGCATTTTTAGTAGAGACGGGGTTTCACCATGTTGGCTAGGCTGGTTTCGAATTCCTGATCTCATGATCCACCTGCCTTGGCCTCCCAAAGTGCTGGGATTACAGGCATGAGCCGCTGTGCCCAGACTAAAGTTTTTCTTTATAGGTGTGTTCATGTTGTAAAAATTCATTGAATTATATACATATGATTTTTGAACTTACTTCTTTAAAGTTTTATATTTCAATAAAAAGCTTAATGATATATATACGTTATTTTCCATACATGACAAATAATCATATATACTATTTTTGAACTTATTCCTATAAAATGTTATATTTCAATAAAAACTGAAAGATATATTACATTATTTTCCATCCATGACAAGTATTATATCATACATGCTATTTTTTTTTTTTTTTTTTTTTGAGACGGAGTCTCACTCTGTTGCCCAGGCTGGAATGCAGTGGCGTGATCTCGGCTCACTGCAAGCTCCGCCTCCCAGGTTCACGCCATTCTCCTGCCTCAGCCTCCCGAGTAGCTGGGACTACAGGCGCCCACCACCACGCCCGGCTAATTTTTTTTGTCTTTTTTAGTAGAGACGGGGTTTCACTGTGTTAGCCAGGATGGTCTCGATCTCCTGACCTCGTGATCCGCCTGCCTCGGCCTCCCAAAGTGCTGGGACATACATGCTATTTTTAAGTGTCGTCATTTGTTTTTTCCTGGCCCTGCCTTTTTTATACTTGTAAGCCTTGGCCTACCCCATCCCATACTTTACCTCATCCCAGGGAATACATTTCTTAAGCTTGTATATACCCATCAATACTATCCATGTTTCTGTCTGGGTGTGTGTATGTGTCTATCTAGACAGAGACTGTGACTGTTTAACAACAGTGTAATCATATCACATGTACAGTTGGCCGGCCCTCTGTATCCCGATACCATATCCTTAGATTCAACCAACTGCGTGCAGATAAAGAATATTTGGAAAAATAAAGAATAACAATAATAAATGTAAAAAACAACACAGTATAACAACTATGTGCATAGCATTTCCATTGTATGAAGTATTATAAGTAATCTAGAGATGATTTAAAGCACAGAAGGTCCCTGATTTACCATGATTCAACTTACCAAGTTTTCAACTGTATGATGGGTTTATTAGGAGGTAGCCCCATGGTAAGTCAAGAAGCTCCTTAAGACTTTGATGGGATTATGGTTTCTACTGAATGCGCATTGCTTCCACACCATCATAAAGTCGAAAAATCATACATTAAGTGGACCCATCGTAAGTCAGAGACTGTCGGCTGCGTTGCCAGCATTAGATGCACTTTTGACTTACAATGTTTTCAACTTACAATGGGCTTGGGGGGTGTAAACCCACAGTAAGTTGAGGAGTATCTGTATATGGGAGGATGTGCATAAGTTACACGCACAGACTACACCCTACTATATGGGGACTTCAGCATCTGCAGATTTGGGTATCTGAGGCAGGTCGCCTAGAACCAAGGCCCTGCAGATACCAAGGGATGATGAGTTTTCTGCACCTTGCTATTCTCACACAAATGAGATCTGGTGGTCCTTCCATGTCATCTTCTTATGCTCGAATTCACTATTCACCACGGCTTTCAATACACATGCCTTCTAGTTTTCTACCACTGCGAACAATGTTGAATTAAATATTGTTACACATACATCATTCTGGTAGATAGATCCTGAGGAGTAAAGTTGCTGAAACAAAAGCCACGTATGTTTTATTTATTTGTTTATTTATTTAGAGAAGTTTCACTTTGGCGTCCAGGCTGGAGTACAGTGGTGCGATGTTGGCTCACTGCAACTTCTGCCTCCCAGGTTCAAACAATTCTCCTGCCTCAGCCTCCCGAGTATGTGGGATTACAGGTGCCCACCACCAAGCCTGGCTAATTTTTGTATTTTTAGTACAGACAGGATTTCACCATGTTGGCCAGGCTGGTCTCGAACTCTTGACCTCAAGTGAGCCGCCTGCCTTGGCCTCCGTAAGTGCTGGGATTACAGGTGTGCGCCACCATGCCTGGCCATGTTTTTTATTTTGATGTGCTGACATACTGTTTTGTAAAAAGACGACACTCCACATTTGTATCTGCAACCATGACAGTACCCTCTTCCCTGCATCTCCTAGGGTCTAACAGTTATGTTAATGAGCTGTCCTCAAAAGCATGGGCAGTTTTCTTTTTTCTCCCTTAGTCCCTCATCTCTGGACTCTTATGGGGAGGAATATGAGTACATTTAGGTCACATGCAGGTCACCTCCCTGTAGATTTGGAGATAATTCCAACAGAAATTTGACTCTGAAGGAAAAAATGGGTCTCAGTTATGAGCAGACAGAAAGAGAACAGGACTCAGGTCAGTGCAAGCCCAGAGTACCTCCAATGGCCCTCTGACCATTTCTTAATGATTGTCTCTCAGCCTATACCATGGGCTTGGGAAACCTGTAAAGGACAATTCCTAAACTCACACGCCAATTGGCTTCCTGTTAGAGTTCTTCAATGGAGAGCAAGGATTGTGGATTGAAAGGCAGAAGGAAATCTCTTCAGCTTCTTGCTCCAGCTAGTATTTCTCCAGCAGCAGAAGACACCCACGACTCCAGTCTCCAGCTTTCCTCAGCATGCACAGCACAGGTGCAGCCACACCTCCTGAGAGGTCCCAGCATAGATGTGCAATGCCTCCCTCAGTGATCTGAGTACTGGCTGTGTAGGGACCCCTCCTGCAGGCTCCCATGGTTTTGATCATTCTGCTTCTCTTGCTTTGTTACCCCAGCCCTAGGGGAGGGTAGAAGGCAGCCTCTAAGATAGTCCCCAGTGATACCCACCTCTTGGTATTTACAGCCTTATGCGATCCCCTCGTCCTCTTAATTTGCTTCTAAGAAAATATGGTGACATTGCAGGGCTGTCACTTCCATGATTAGGTTACAAAGGGTTCTGACTTCCATCCTGCTAGTACACTCTCTTACTGGCTTAGATAAAGCAACCTCGCATAGTGGAGAGACCCACATGGCTAAGAACTGAGGGGAGCCCCCAACTAACAGCTAGCAAGGTACTGAGGCCTTCAGTTCAAAACAGTCCTCAAGAAATTCAATCCTGCCAACACCCACATGATCTTAGAGGTGGACACCTCCCCAGTCAAACTTTCAGATGATCCCCTAACCCTGGCTGATACCATCTCATGAGAGATCATGACATAGAGAATCTGGTTAAGCCATGCTGGGATTCCTGACTTACAGAAGCTGTGAAATAATAAATATGTACTGTTTTAAAACATTAATTTGGGGATAATTTGTTCCACAGCAATAGATGACTAATATAGGGCGTTAGTCAGGCTATTGTCTATGATTACTAATATATTGGTTACCTATTCCTTTTCTACTCCTTCAGCCTTCCAACTCCTATATTACTGATTTTCTGTATTAAATTAGTTTGAAATACCTAGCATGGTCTCTTTTCCCAGTAAGTCCCTACTTGGTACTTATTAGGATTCAAGTTCCAAGGTCTACTATTTAAGGCTCTCTACAATCTAATTTCAGAACCTAGTTCTCCAATCACTTCCCTCATGCCGGCTGACTTAATCCCAGCCAAACTAGTTTGCTCATGTCCCATGAACTTGTCTTGCATTTTTCCGTGTCCCCATCTCTGCAAAGACAATAAAGTGGGGCAGGACACATGCACTGGCTGTAGCACTAGACCTCTGTTTAAAACTTGGCTCTAACTCCTATTAGCTATAAGACCTAAAGCAGTCACTAGCCCTTTATAAGCTCCGGTTGCTATCACTGGAAAACAAGGATTAAAAAAACATTTACTTTTATTTTAGAGAATGCTGCAACAGGTATAGATAAATAGCTGGCACAATGCGTAACTCCCAGAAGGTGCTAAGAGAGTGACAGACCATGGTTCTCACTGCTGCTCACACCTTTCCTGGTTCTGGAATCAGCAATCCTCACTCTCCACCTAGCCAAATACTCAGGGACCGCATCCTCTCCTAAGACATCTTTCCCAGAGTTCTCCCTTGGACTCTTGGCATAATTTCTCTACCAGGGGAGCCCTAGGTTTCCATGGAAACATCCTGTGGCCAACCGCAGGGGACAGAGAAGAAAGAGAAAGAGGAGATTCATGTTCTTAGTCATATTTGCACCCTTCCAGCACCTAACGCTTCGCTGGGTGTTTTGCTAACTGTAAATAGGCATATTCTAGTACCAAAGCCAAAGTACTTCAGAAACAAATACAAAATGAAGTAACGTCAAAAGCATATTCACTAAGAAATGTCATACTTATTCATCGAACTCTTCATCTTTAGTTCAAATGTCTGGTGTTAAAATATCAGAAGCAATCAACAGAAGTAAATCCGTCTTTTCACGACTGGCCTATCACGCCTTTATACTATGATTACAGAAGTGTCTAGAAAGCATATTGTTTAAGATAACTTGCTTTATGTTTTAAACAAACCAAATGCTTATGTTGCAACTCTACTGTATCAAAAGTAGATATTTTGTATGATCCAAAGACAAAATTTTTTATTCATTAAAAATTAATCAACAGCTACTATTCCCAGATACAGATCCAGTATCGTGTAAGAAAAGCAGGGCTAACCTCACCTTCATCTCAGGGTACATGTATCGGTGGATGGAAGGCAGCCAGTAGACCGGGGGCAGGCTGCTGCCTCTGCCAGGACCAGCATGGAGCACCCCCTTTTTGTCCTCATAGAAGGCGGCCAGATGAGAGTAATGTCCTGGCATCTCCAGCTGGTGCCTGCAGAAAAACACACACATGCATACACGCATACATGCATACACACACACGAACACACACACACACACACACACACACAGTGAGAACAGCCCTGGTCACAGCTCTGCTACCACTCCTACCCCCCACCCACCTCAAGGGCTGTAACACTCAGGGGCAAAGGCCCTGACATACTCCAAAGATCCCCATTTGGAGGCTGCTTAGGTCACCTCCTTTGATGCTACGGAAGATCCTGAGGAAAAGTTCAAACATGGGCCTGAAACTCCCTGACAGCACCATGGAACACATTCTTTTTCTCATGGGAAACAGACAGAATTAACAGACTATGACTAATGTCTATTGTTCTTGAGCAAGGTACGCCGCACACTGGGTGCCACTTCCCAGAGAATGGCCGCTTCCTGTGAGAAGGGGCCAGCTTGGAAGCCTAAAATTCCCTGCTTAAAGCCGCTCTTTGTTTAGAGAACTCACGCTTGCCTGCTTGCTTTGTGGTTATGGAAGAATACGGAGAAGCTTACCTCCAATGTCTCAAATAAGGGAAAACAATTATTATTGGATATCACCAGGGCTCATAATTTCTGCATTAAGTATAATAATAAAGAAATAAAAAGCATCAGAATCTCTTCTCTGCCCGCCCCACTGGCTTGGGTCGCAGAGCCTGGCTGTGGCTGGCCCTGCTGGCTGACCCCAGACCCCAGAACCCAGAAGGCAGCACCCTGGGCCATTTGGACAGTGGAGAATCCTGCCCCCCAGTGGAGCTCAGGAGCACTGTGAGGACTGTTTGTCACTATGTTTAATGGGGCTGTTATAGGTTGAATTTTGTCCCCACAAAAAAGATGGGGCCCCAGCACCTCGCTCAGAATGGGAACTTATTTGGATAGCATCTTTACATAGGTAATCGAGCTACAATGAAGTCACTGGAGCCGGCCCTGGTCCAGTATGAATGCTGTCCTTATAGAAAGGGGACTTTTGGACACAGAGACACACACATACAGTGAACAGCAGGTGAACATGAAGACAAGAGACTGGGATGATACATCTACAAGCCAAGGAACCCCAAAGATTGCCAGCGTCCACCAGCAGCTAGGGGAGAGGCCTGGAACGGATTCTCCCTCATAGCCCCAAAGGGAACTCACACTGCTGAGACCTTGACTTTGGACTTCCAGCCTCTAGAACTGTGAGACAGTATGTTTCTGCTGTTGTAAGCCACCCAGTTTTTGGCACTTTGTTATGCAGGCCCGGAAAAGCCCTAATTGAGGGAGGAATAAAAGGCACCAAAACCCTCTTAGCCCATCGTTATTTTCTCAGTGTCCTACAATTTCCATCAATCAATGAACAAAAAGCAAAATACGGCTTCACTGAGCAAGGGAAACATCCCTAATTATGGTTGGCCCTGGAACAGCAGTGATTAAAAACAGGCACTCCCCGCTGCCACACTGCCTCTGCAAACTGCCACAGTGGCTTACCCCAAACTATGACACAAACTGTTCAGAGCCAAGATTTCATCAACCAACTATAGCCTTCCATTCTCCAACCATCTCCACTCCAGACTGACTGACAGCTCTTATGTCAAAGTGATGACAACAGACCTTCAGACAAATTTATATTTTAAAAAGGAAAAAACTCATCACTATATTCATATAATGATTACTAATGTAAGATGGATGATAGCTCCAATTTCAGGGCCCCTATACATTTTAAGTTTTGACAAGGAGGCAGTCCTCCTGTAACAAATAACTCGTTGGGAGGAGGGTGCTTATAATCATTTAGTTCACTTTTACAAATGTTCATGAGCTAGACAGGAAACCCATGGTCTAAGCTGTGTCTGACTATTCTGAGAAGATGGCAATTTCAGACACTTTTTAGGGAAGTTGGTCAAACTGATCAAAGTTTGATTCACAGAAAAATCACACAAAGGCAATTATGTTCAAAGGTGTTTTTATTAGGATGGAATTTCCCTAAAAAGAACACTGAGAATATTTTATTATATTTTAATACTATATTTTCTGTGTTAAAGGGGGCTGTGTCAGGGGTAATTTATATTTTTTCATTCAAAGGTGTTTCATTAGGATCAAATTTCCCTAAAAATACTGAGAATCATTTCATTATGTTTTTGCTACTACTATATTTTCTGTGTTAAAGGGGGCTGTGTCAAGGTAATATTTTTTCATTTTCTATGTTTATTGTTTGCTGATTTGCTGCTCAATTGCCTTTTCTGTTTGACTACATTAAACTGTATACTTGAATCATGATTCTAAAGAAAAGTTCGGTACAAAAGTTAGAATCCTTTAGACAAAGAACTAATATGAGGATTCTGTCCTTTGACTGCCTCAGATATTACTGACTGATGGGACAGAACAAGGCAATAATATGGAATTTGAACAGACAAAAACGAAAATTGGCAGTTCCTGGATGAATGTCAAGCAACTGTTGTATGAAAGCCCCAAAACTTAAACACACTACAGATTTTGCAACAAACAAGACTGTCAAACCACAATATCAAGAAAGACCGAAAAGTACTGAAACAAGGCTCAGAGTGCTGGATAAGTTAGTCTTCAAAGATGATGTCAAAGGAGCCCTTCCTGGTGAACTTACCTATAAGAATGCAGAAATTGAGAAACCACCACACTGAAATGTATGCCAAACCACCCATGGAACCCATCCAAGAGCCGTGACACTGTAAAAACTAGAGAACAACTGGCTCAATATATATTATTAATCTGAAGCCATAGGCTGCTGGGCCAGAGACACTGGGATTCTCCTTAAGCCCACAGCTCCTTCACTGATAAAACACAGCCATATGTGGCCATGCAGATGCCCAATGCAACTGACCCTGCCTGTCCCTACCACACGGGCAATAATTCATCCACAATCAGAATCAGAGATGCAACAATTACACTTCATCACTCTGGTGTGTTAAGTATTGGTCTAAACAGGCCGGGCGTGGTGGCTCATGCCTATAATCCCAGCACTTTGGGAGGGTGAGGTGGGCGGATCGCTTGGGGCCGGAAGTTCCGGACCAGCCTGGCCAACATGGTGAAACCCGTCTCTACTAAAAATCCCAGCTACTAGGGAGTTGAGGCACAAGAATTGCTTGAACCCAGGAGGTGAAGGTTGCAGTGAACCAAGATCACACCATTGCATCCAGCCTGGGTGACAGAGCAAGACTGTCTCAAAAAAAAAAAAATATATATATATATATGTGTGTGTGTGTGTGTATTTACATATGTGTATATATGTGTGTATATGTGTGTATGTGTGTGTGTATATATATGTATATATCTGTCTGAACAAATCGCCTCCTAGTTCCTGGCTTTGCAAATGCAGAAAAATAAGCACCCCCATTTATTACTGCTGGTGCAGGGATACAATGGCACCACCTTCTGAAGCGTAACTTACAGCTTGTATTAAATTGTACATTGTATATAGCCTCTGATCCAATGATTCCCCTTCTCGGATTGTGGTCTAAAGAACTATTTCTGGATGTGAACAGTCATTTACTCATAAGGATGCTGATGTGCACGGTGGTGAAAAAAATAAGGAACACCCTAAAACCCCAATAACAGTGAAACAGTTAAATAAATTGTGATGTATCTATATATTGAAATGCTGTGAAACCACAATAATATTGAGGACTATAATTCATGATACATCGGAAAGGTTAATATACCAAGTTACAAAATTTACATACTAAATGACCTCAATAATCCTTTTTTTTTTCCTTTCCCTTTTAGAGACGGAGTCTCGCTCTGTTGCCCAGGCTGGAGTGCAGTGGCGCGATCTCAGCTCACTGCAACCTCCACCTCCGGATGTATTTATCATCTAGCTTCAATAATATTTGATCCATATGGTTATATCTATACCCTATACCTTACCATCACCACTTTTTTCCTAGAATGTCTTAAAGAAAATCCCACCTCATAACATTTCGTTGATAAATGCTTTGTAAGGCATCTCTAACTGATAAAATCTGTTTAAATAACTAACACATAATCGCCATGCCATTATCTCACCTAATAATAATGCCTTAATATAAATATCCAGTCCACATTCAAAATATAGCCACTGTCCCCCAAACGCTATTTCACAGTTGGTTTGAATCGAGATCTGAGCAAGGTAAAATGTGGTTATGAGTCATGGGTCCGTTTCTTCAATAACAGTCCCTCTTGCCTTTTCTAATTTAATTTTTAAAATTATGAAATAGTTCTCCAATATCTTCTGATTCATAAGAAATAATCGTTAAAAAGACTCTTTAGAGATACTGAGGGCAAAAATTGTAGATGAAATACAAGTAAATAGGTTTGGAACATTGGAAGTCAGAAGAAATACAAAACACAGATTAAGTGCTGCAGAAATGAAGACTAGTGAATTCATGTAAAAGCTGCTGCTGTATTCAAGTATTATCCTAACCTAGACTTGAGCTTATCTAACTGTGCTTCCTTCTTTTCCTCATACTCTGTCATATAAGTCTCTTCTGTTACCTATAGCCCTCTTTAATCACCCAGCTGTAAAACTTTTCTAGCTAAGACTCAAAATCTAGAAGCCATAAAAAGATGAATGAATTCAAAGAAAAACACCTATATGACAAGAAGGTAATGTTAAAAGACAAATGACAAAGTGTTATATAAGTTTTCAATTTATATAACAAAGAAAAAATTTCCCTATCGTGCAAACTCCTAGAAATTAATAAAAGGCCGGGTGCGGTGGTTCATGCCTGTAATCCCAGCACTTTGGGAGGCCGAGGTGGGTAGATCACATGAGGCTGGGAGTTAAGAGACCACCCTGACCAACATGGAGAAACCCTATCTCTACTAAAAATACAGAATTTGCCAGGCGTGGTGGCACACGCCTGCAATCCCAGCTACTCGGGAGGCCGAGGCAGGAGAATCGCTTGAACCCGGGAGGTGGATGTTGTGGTGAGCCGAGATCACACCATTGCACTCCAGCCTGGGCAACAAGAGCCAAACTCCATCTCAAAAAAAAAAAAAAAAAAAAAAAATTAAGAA